TGTGGCTTGCAGCTAGCAAAAGCGAGGTTTGCGAGAGGTTGTTTTGAGGAGCTTCTTCAGTTGCTATCATGAAAGAAGTGAAATCACTCCAGAGCGGAAATGAGCTTGCAATTGAGCCACTGGGGCTCTGGGACCCATCCTTGCGCCTGATGTGTGGCATTAGTATGGCCTTTGTTGGCAGCCTGGTGGCACGCAGATCGGCTGTGAACTTCCGCATGGATGATTGCGACAAAGACCCGTTGATTGCGACAAAGATCGTGGTGGAACCAGGTCAGGAAGGCATCTCCGCGTTGGCCTGAATATCCCACGTCCGCAACATCCCTTGATACGTGGACAGAATTCTCAAAAGAAGAACGCTGAGTGCAGCAGAGAGCGCGGCCTTTGGGCCGGTTCTGAACCCCATAGCTTGCGCATAGAAAATGGGCTTCACAAGTGCACGCAAACACAACATTCAGCGCAGCGGCAACAGCCCGAGGTGGCGCGGTTTTTGGTGCGACCAGCAAACTGAGGGTGTCCGACTGTCGTAGGACTTCCCATCACCGCGAATGGTACTGGTGTCACGTGAACATGTTGCAGTCAAATAGTGCGTGCGCAGCCAAAGGCAAATCTGTTGGACACGCCCCTTCTATTCGCAGCAAAATCCATGTGTTACAGCTATGATCAGCGACAAACAGGCGCCTGTCATCCTTGGACCCAACCAATGCAAATGGCCAACCTGCACTTACTCTGAAAGGATCAATATGCGCTGAACCTTCAAGCGGGCCTCATTCTCAACAGGTCAAACGATGGCCGTCCCAACACCTCGCCACGCGGCAGGTTTGCTTGGTATCACTCGTTGCGCGCCGTGCGGCACGGTTTCAGAGTTTGCAAAGCCTGTCGCCTGTCGCCAGCACCCAGGCGGGCTCAGATGAATGTCAGGCTGAAGTATGGAAGCTTCCCTGGCAGCTAGGTGAAATAGTCTGCATGTGCGAGTTCCGCACGTTGGCCGTTAAGATTTCACTCGAATGTAGCACGCAAGCACGAAGAGGCGTCCCAGTGGTGGGGCAAGTGTGGGCCAAGACATTGGATAATGGGCAGCATGAAGGTGCTATTATAGGCTGAAGTCTGTCTTGCCTGTTCATTCACTGCGTCAGGCTCCACTTTGTTGGCAACAGTGGTGCCGTTGACGACTTCATAGTGTTGTATGGCGCCAGAACTGAGACACAAAGTGTGCACGCAGCCAAGTGCTGTTCTTTCCTCTGGGTGCGCACCAGCGTCTAAATGAATCTCAGCTTTCAGTCTGCTTTCTTGCTGCCATGGCAGCGTGTCCCGGATTGAATTAAATGTCCAGGCTCGCGATGCCGATTTGAGCCTGACGCAAAGCACTTCGGAGGAGATTGTGAGCAGGGCTTTCCCAGCGCCTGCAGTCATTTTGCTGAGCCCATGATGGGAAGATGCGTGCGAAGGGATGTTGGGGCACGGCTGCCTTGCCCATCCACTCTGCCCAGGCTTTACTTGATTGTAGTGTCATCGCTTGCGATGGCTCCGCTCGAGCACTGGCCATTCCAAACTTGCACCAGCGTTTTGCTGGCACTGGTGCTGCCGCTACGCCGCTTGCAACGCTTGGGATGCTGTGGCTTGGCAAGCAGTGGTCTATTTGGACCTTGCCGAGCCCTTTGCCAGTGCGACAGCGACTGTGAGACTTCGTCGCATCCGGCCTAAACTGATCGTCCACAATTTGTTTGCAAGGGCGGCTGCAGCCTTCTCAAGGGTTCAGACAATGCATCCCAAGACGCAAGCGCTGTGTTGTGCTTTGCTGAGTGATACCCCGATCGGTGGTCATGCCAAACCGTGCGGCCCTGGCAGCTTAGCCTTCAGCGAATGGGATCCGATCTTCTGATGTTCCCCTTGCGGCTCTCCAAGATCCCTGGGCCCTAAGTGTGCATGTTTTTGCGCTTGGGCCAAAGGCTCCTTTTGGTGCAAGCGGCACAGTGTTTCGCCTCAGTGCATTTTTGCGATTTTTGCTGTTTTGCTAAACCAGGATGAAGACGAAAAGGCGACCTTGCCCGACCCAAAGGCGACATTGCCCGACCAAAAAGCGAGATTTGCCGACCACGTTCTGGCAAGATTTTGAAGAAGCACTTGTAAAAGGGAAAGGTTCTTTTTGGAGCAAACGACACAACACATTGCTTTTTCAGCCAGAGGCGCAACAAATGCACAGTTGGTCTGTCTAAGCCAGTTGCCAGCCTCCGTGACCCAAAGTTGCATAAAGTGAGCGCCGCAATCAAGGATTGCTCCTGACCGCCATCCGAAGTGGTAAGCCTCAAAAGCAGCCCATCCTGGCGGTCATTGTGTCAGCCATCCTCAGCTTGTTTGCTGACTTGTTTAGCTCCCGCATGCTTGGGCTACAAAGGGGGTAGCAGTCGCAAACCCGCTGACTTCACTCCCGCGATTCTCCACCCTTGGTTGCAGGCTCACGGCCTGACGGGCAAGGGAAGCATGTTCAACGCACACCACTCACCAGGCCTGGGGGTGTGACACCCTCAGGCTTTGCTGGCTAAGTCTCAGCCGTTTCTCACAAGCAACGCGAGGAAGCAACAACCAACGTCAGTTGGGAGGCTTTCGACATTCGTGAGCTCCACATTGTTCCCACATGTTGTGTATGTGGTGCGCCATTTCCTGGTTTGATCACCTGTGGGCCGGCAGATGCTTTTCGCCCCCAAATATAAACAGTTGTCGGTATAGGCTTGCGACTAAAATGGTGAAACACACCCATGTTGACTGCTTCCGGCGTGCGTGTGCAACCAGATTCCAACCACAGAGCTTGCCTGGTGGCGCAGTTTGTCTTTTTTGCCCAAGGACAAAGCAATTGCTTTTGGAGGAAAGCCAGCTGCCAGGTGTTGGCTGCAGCTGGCAGCAAGCGACTCAGCGCTTAGTGGCGCTTGCTCGCGTGTGGCTTGATTGCAATGTCAGTGTCTGCGACACCGCCTGTGCTGGAGCTGGCGATCCCAAACTGGCACCGGCGATATGCTGGCACTGGTGCTCCAGCTGCGCTTGCGATGCAAGGGATGTGGCTCGGCCAGCGGTGGTCTATCGGGACCTTTCCGAGCCCTTGCCCAGTGTGACAGCGACTGTGAGCTACGGGGTGGTGATGACATCATTCGTCCCGCAAGTTGCGGCAGGCTTGATCAGCATCATGTTGTTTCCAACCGTTATGTGCGTTGCGCACCGTTTCCTTGTGTTTGACCAACTGTGAGGTGGCAGTTCTTGTCGCAAACTGCGGTCGACAAAGCCTTGCCACTGGCCCAGACTTGCCAAAGCGGGATGCATATGTATCAACATTGGGCGGTCCCCAAAAAGCTTCAGTTTTCCTTCCTGTTGCCTTCGAAACCGACCTGCAATGAGTACCTTGAAAAAACAGGCACCCGTACATGGTTGCCAAGCTTTGCTGCTCCGGCGTAGGAACTTCGGGGCACTTCAGCTGCCTGCGAATCGTTGAGCCCCGACCCGCCACCCTGCTCGGGCTTTACAAAATCGTAGGATCGCTCGCCGCGCCTGTGGCGCGGCAGCTCCGCTTGCGATGCGCGGGATGTGCAGCGACTGTGAGCGACCGAGCGACAGAGCGGCCGCAATGAAAGATTGCCCCTGACCGCTGCGGGATGCTTGGGCGAGATGGTCGGCCAGACTCAAACTTGGATCCCCAGCCTGGAAGTTGCAGCCCACGCACGGCCCTTGCAGATGGCTAGAGGCTGCGAGACACGTTGAGATGGGAGATGGCCTGGTGGCGAAGTATGTTTTGTTTTTATTTGCGAGAAAGGCAAGTGACTCCGGTGGAAAGCCAGCTGCCAAGTCACATGGCAGTGGCATACTCAGGTGACACAGGACGCCCAGCTGGTTCTTGTCTTTCCGTTACGCAGGAATGCCACGAGACAGACCAGCTGCCGAGTGCTCTTTTCGTGTGCAGAGAGGCTTCATTTGTGCAGCTGACGGCAAGCTTAATGCACAAGGGCTGTTGCATGGTTGCAAAGTGGCTGCAGGTTGAGGTGCTACAGGAGTTTGCTGAAGTCGTTCCCTTCTCTGAACATGCTTGGGCAACATGGTCGGCCAGACTCAAACTTGGATGCTTATCATGGAAGTTGTAACCCGGGCACGCTCTTTGCATACGGAGGCTGTGAGACATGTTGAGATGGGGACTGGTGGCATAGTGCACATACTGCTTACAAAAAAGGCAATTGCTTCCACTAGAAAGCCAGATGCCGAGAGCTGGCTGCAGTTGCCAGAAGGCAATTCAGGTGGTTCCCGTCTTTTCGTGTGCAACCAGACTTTATGTGATGCAAGTTCAGGTCACATGGCTCCAACAACCCGTGCAGGCTTAGTGCACAGGACCTTTTGCGCGGTTGCAAAGTGGCTGCAGGTTGAGGTGCTACAGGAGTTTGCTGAAGTCGTTCTCTTCTTTGCACATGCTTGGGCGAGATGGTCGGCCAGACTCAAACTTGGATGCTTATCATGGAAGTTGTAACCCGGGCACGCTCTTTGAGACATGTTGAGATGGGGGAGATGACAGGCACAGTAAGGACTGGTGGCACCTGTGCATATTTCGGCTTGCGAGAAAGGCAACTGTTTCCCATAGAAAGTGAGCTGCTGAGAGCTGGCTGCAGCCAGCAAGCAACTCAGGTGGTGGTGTCTTTTCACACCTTTCATGTAGGGATGCCTGGAAAATATAAGGTGAAGCCCGTTCACACCCTACGCCAATTGAACAAAAAGGCTGTGCCATAGGTTTCGTTGGAATCATGTTCCAGGAATATCGTTGACAGCTCCCGGGTTCCTGGAGCCATCTCCCCAAGCTGCAGCTTCTTGCCGCGTGCTGAGAATACTTGCAGTTGAGCAATGGCCAGGCCAGGCGATGGCTTCTCGTGTCTGTGGGTGCTTGGGTTTGAACCAAGCAAGCAAATCCAACTAGTCGCCTTGCTTCTTTAATTTGCAAGGGCAAGGGACAGACAAGCGGCTTGCCGGCAAGTCACATGGCAGTGGCATACTCAGGTGACACAGGACGCCCAGCTGGTTCTTGTCTTTCCGTTACGCAGGAATGCCACGAGACAGACAGGACTCAGACCTGGATGTTCATCCTGAAAGAAGACACCCTTGCACTCCTTTCGCAGATTGGAACGAGCCGAATGTTGAGATGGCAGATGGCAAACACAGCATCGACTATGTCACCACTGCGATTGTTTCCATTGGAAAGCCAGCTGCCGAGTGCTGCAACTCAGGTGTTTCCGGTTCTTTTAGTGTGCAGAGAGGCTTCATTTGTGCAGCTGACGGCAAGCTTAATGCACAAGGGCTGTTGCATGGTTGCAAAGTGGCTGCAGGTTGAGGTGCTACAGGAGTTTGCTGAAGTCGTTCCCTTCTCTGCACATGCTTGGGCGAGATGGTCGGCCAGACTCAAACTTGGATGCTTATCATGGAAGTTGTAACCCGGGCACGCTCTTTGCATACGGAGGCTGTGAGACATGTTGACATGGGAGATGAGGGGCACAGCGTGGACTGGTGGCACAGTGCACATTGCTGCTTGCAAAAAAGGGAATTGCTTCCAATAGAAATCCAGCTGCCGAGTGCTGGCTGCAGCTACAAGCAAGCAACTCAGGTGGTGGTGTCTTTTCACACCTTCCATGCACGCATGCCTGGAAGACGTGGACAGGACCTTAGACTTGGATGTCCATTACACACCCCGTGCCACTGGAACAAAATGGCAGGGTCTTCTTGGAATGTTCCAGGAAGATCGTCGACATCTCCAGGTGCCTGTAAATGAACAATCGACTTGGCAGTCGACTCGGAAGTGCAAACGGCTGCAGGCTCAATTGACACAGGACGCCCAGCTAGTTTTTGTCTCTCCCTACTTCCCACGCAGGGCACATCTCATGCAGGAATGCCGAGAAGAGACAGGCAGCACTCTGAGCTGGATGTCCGCCGCGTGGGCGCTTTGCAAATTGGATAGAGGTTGCGCGAAATGTTAAGATGGAAGTTGGCAAACACTGCGTTGACCGCTGGAGTAGTGCGACGATTTTGTGCTTGCTTGAAAGTCGGTTTCTAGTGGAAAGCAAGCCGAGCGCCGGCTGCTGGCAAGCAATTTAGGAAGGCTGCCACTGAATGGTTCGGGTGCAAAGTTGGGGCAGGTTTAGCTGACACATGTCTTTGCAGACTTTCCATGCGGGGATTTCCGGAAGACACGGACAGGACTTTGATGCGTAGCAAGGCCACCGCTTGCAGATTGTTCAGGCAACCCGGTAGGTTTCTCAGTTGGCCCTCTTTCAGCCTTCATGCAGGGGATGCCTGGAAGACAGGGCTCAGGTCATGTCCATCCTGAAAGTTGAAGTCACTGCACTCCCTTTGTACACTTGTCGAAATTTTGAGATGGCAGATGGCAAGAACTGCGCTCTGAGAGGCACGGTGTGCTTTTCTGCAGTTGCTGATTGCTGGCGGCAGCTGCCAGCAAGCAACTTAGCAAGACCGCCGCTGTTTGAGAGCTTGCAAAGTGGCTGCCGGCCTGCGTGACACGCGAGTTTTTTTAGTGATGATTTTTGTCTGCGCCTTGCACGCAGGGATGACTGGAAGAGGCCGACAGAGCTCAAACCTGAATGTCCATCCTCAAAGTTGGATGTTGGTCATGTCGGTTGATGTATGCGCGCGGCCTTTGCTGCAAATTGGAAAGTGGCTGAAAGACATGCTGAGATGGAAGATGGCAAACACAGCATTGACTGATGGCACAGCTTGTTTTTGTGCAGGTAGGAACGACGTGTTTTGCAGTGGAAACCCAGCTGCCAAGTGTTGACTGCGCGGCTGCCAGCAAGCAACGCCGCACCACTACATCTGCTTGGCAGGCAAAGCGGCTGCAGGTTCAGATGAGACAGGAGTTAGAAAGAGGCGTGAATGTTGAGATGGCATGGACCAAGTCACTGTGTGGGGGCCCTCAGGAAGGAGATGCCCGGTCGTCAAAGAAGATGGGGATGCATTTGTCAGTCAATGAGTCCAGCGCATCGGATCATTTACCCAGGAGTTCGGTTGCTCTCAAATTGTCTGGGTTTTCGTTTCCCCCCTGCACTTTCTTTTCGCGTTTCGAGGCGTCTCTGGCGCGTTCTTTTGCGCCCTTTCGGAGAACATGGGCTCCTTGGCAGTGGAGCGAGGGGTAGGGGGGGGGGGGCGGGGGCCTTGCACTGGCACTTTGGCGGAAATCTTGATTTCGATCGCCAAATCTCAGGTAGACAATCCTATTCGGCAGGGGGCTCTGGTACTACATTCACTAAACACACCCGGGTTGGACATGGAAACAGTGGATCTTGTTCGACCTTTGTTTTGCATCGGGAAGTGTAGCATTCGTACCGCCCAGGAGATTTGAACCTCTGGTTCTGGTGGAGGGTAAATGGGATTCTCCTCCTTAACCACCAAATCGCCAATCCAAACCAAGCATTAGAGGGAAGCCGACGTTTTTTTGGACAGGAGCCGTCAGACAGTTCTCAAAGGCAAAAGCGCGTTCCGTTGATGCCCTGATCAGCTCACCACTACTGCCGAGGGCATGTGAGGTTGCCGCGCCCCTTTGAATCAAGCCATTGTCTGCAATGGTCAACAACCCTGCTTGGTGTTAACAGGGATGCTCATCCAGCTGGCAGCAAGGGTCCTCACGGCCCATCATGATTCCTGCGAAGCGAACCATGACCACAGGCCAAACACGCGGAGTTTTGCCCATGGCTATGACTATTTTGGGTACGGGTCAAAATTTAAAGCCACCCAAAAACCGCAGGTTGTAGTCCGTTCTTCCATTTACCAGGGTTCCATTTTGGAGTTAACCTATTTTTGACCCACAGTCATTTCTGCAACTTCCAACATCCACTGGCGACAGGCCTGCTGGTGCTCCAGCTCTGGGGGGTGTATTGCGTCTACACCTGGTGCGTGGTGGCGGGTGACGACTTTGTTCCCACCTACAACTCGGAGAGCAAGGCCCGCGAGTGGCCTGGAAGCCGGGCCGCGTAGGTTTTAGGTTTGGCAAAACTGGATGGGTTCCACTGGCTTAGATGGTTTTTTTCCCATTTACCAGGGCCATCTATTTGGCCAAAGGCCACCTATGGGACGCCGCTTTTTTAACGGGGGAAGCCTGAAGGACGCCACCCCGAAACGCTCGAGGAAGGAGGACTCCTCTTTATTGGGATTTTCGACCCTGGCCAGATGGAAGCCTGGGACGGGCTACGGGTCCCGCGGATTCTTGTATGCAGCTCGCATCAATCCGGCTTGTGAGTTGTGAGCCACTGCTTGGTTCCGATTGTTTTGGGGTCAGCACGCTGATATGGGTGTGGTCTTTAAATGGGGATCCTTGGACATCATGTCGGTCCACACCTCACCCGTGCAGGGGATTATGTGGAGCCTCACCGGCAACAATGACTGCGTCATTGCCATCTACTCGCTCTGCCTGGCGATGTTTGCAAGCAGCGCCTGAGCCTTGGAACTGATTATGCCAAGAGTATGGATGGCCCTCTGGCGGAAGAGCCCGGGCGGCTCTTCTGTTAGACGGGGGAAAAAATGCTTGAGAAAACGCCTAGGTGTAGAGGATTCCCCTTCGCAATTGTTTTTCAGCCAGAAAAGACGCAAACAGAAAGCCGGCCAATGTGCGGCCGGTTGCGAGGAATGGCCAGGGAGATATGTTTCTCATCGAACCCTTGACTGTTGAAACTTGAGGGCAATGTACAGCTTACTCCTGAAAAGAGAGGAGGTTTCAGGGTCAACTTGTTTTTTGACATTGTGAGCAGCAATTTTCGAAAGGAATGTGCCATATCCATCGACGTGTCCTTTGAAAGTCGTGAACCATCTTTTTGGAGTAGCCGCTGCCGGTTGTTTTAAAGGGATACCCAAAAGGACAGCCAGCCATTTTGGAAGAAGACACACCCATTTGCTTCTTTCTTTGGGTTGCAAAGAGGCCTTTGATGCAGCTGTCCCGGGAATTTCAGTGTTATGGGTCTGCCATTTACTCCGTCCACTTCTTGGAGCCTTGGTTTCTCAGTTGTGATATGATTTGTCCCTAGGGGAAGTGATGCACGTGGCGCATTGTTCCTACCCTCGTGAATTCACTCTGGAGGTTTGCCATTCGGCTCTGGCACCGCGCATTCTGATGAGTTCTCCCCTTCAAAGTGCAGACGACCTGCACTGGCTTCGCAAGTCTGGGCTGCACCGCATGTGGTATGAAAAGGGACCGCCCCAGAAACAAAAAGCAGAACGCTCAGCAAGGCTCCTCGGACATATCCAATTCGGGCTGAGAGGGACAAGCACCGGCAGTTCCATTGAAGCTTTGGTTGCCTGAAGTTGGGTCAAAGTAATCCACGCCTGTCTTGTCGTGACCCATGGCGAGGTCACCAAGATCCTTGCCCATGCAAAATTATTTGCAACAAGTTTCACGGATCGCGAGACTCGATTTCCCTTGGCAACTTCTTCGAGCTACTAGATGTTTGGAAAATCCGGCCTGGGAAAGAACACTGCTTTGTTTTTGTTTCCTTTTGTACTTAGACAAGGGAGCCTTCAACGTCTTTTTGCATGGGCTGAGTGGTTAGCTTTCGTGCATTCCCAAACTAAGCAATATTCGCTCACTTGTGCTCGGAAAAGGGGGGGGCGATTCGACCTTCTAAGAGCCCGGGGCACCTGGAAGACCATTTTTGTAATTAAAGGCAAGTTTCGTCAGTTTCCATGTTAATTGGTGGGGGGGTAACTGGAAAACAAAGCAAAAAACCAACCGGAGGTAAATGGAACCCAGGACTAACACCTGGGGTCCAATTCCTGGTTTCATTTTGACCCACACCCACATCCAGGCGTGCGCTGGCCCCGGAAGGTGAAGCACCTGCTGGCGGCACTGGGCGGAGCCTGCGCAGGTGGGCTGATGGGGTGAGTCTTTTTTCTTCTTTTTTTCTCCGGGTGTTATTGTTGCTGTTTGATTGTTTTTTGCATGTTTTTGAAGCCGAGGATTTTCAGAGTGGTTTTTGGTGAGCCACATCCTCAACAAACGGGGGCAATTCAAGGGGACACGTTCCCTTTGTCATAAGTGGGTGCGCCAAGAAGCGCTTTTGACTGTTTTGAAAAGGATTTTAGGAATCAACATTTGATTGTTTCTTACATGCCATTTTCAAGCCCTAGGGGTGGATCATGTCGTGCCGCAGCCTGGTTTGCCGCTTTTGGCTCAACCAACTAGCGATACAGTAGTTCTGCCTTCACCGACCCCATACTTGTGTATGCTGTGAAACTTGATGCTGGGAAGCTCCGACATGTGCGATGATGGAACTTCCACTGACAAGTGAACAAAGACAAGGCCCAGGACACTTTGCCTCCGAATTCTGGTTCAGGATAGTCTGAGGCACATACTTGGACCGTCGTGTTCAAGGGTTTTTATTTGGATTGTTTCGCCTGCGCCACAGCCCCTGCTTTTCTTTTTCCCCCCGCTTTCGCATCCTCGCTTTTCGGGTGTGCAGTTGAATGACTCAACACATCAATGTGGGCCGTGCCCGGATGGACACACTCGTTGATATTTTCCGCATTCGCACTGTGGCCACGGAGTGAGGAATGCACCGCAAACGCAAAAACCGACCTCAACGCCTGTGGCTGCATCGCTAATGTGTGAGAGCAGAAAAACCATCCATTTTTTGCATTCTGTTTGGAGCATTGCCTGAAGCCTAGCTGCATTCTCACAACATTGCCTTCCCCCTCTCCTTCCGCTTCCCTTTCTTTGTAGGGGCCACCCATTGGTTTAAACATGTTATGATTGATCGTTTGTAAAGGTGGTGTTTAAACCGTATTTTGCCCCACCCAGTTCCTTTGTCTTTCCAGTCTCCGGCAGGTGCTCACATCACCGTGCAGATCATCTACACGGTCTGGGCCGAGGACGGCATGAAGGCTCCGATCGTCTACGGCCTGCTGGTGACCAACCGAGCCTCGGCAAGCCAGCCGACTGGCGGGACCGGACGTCACCCGGATCTCGGTTTCATAGCATGCAATGGTTGCGTGCTGCTGTATTGTCGCCGACCTTGTACGATGGCTTTGCGCGCGCAAACAATCAGTGCACCAACTATATCCAACCGCACGGCCCCTTGCCTACCTGCGATGTGTAGAAATATGTAGTTCTATCCACATGCTCCGTGGACTCGGGCAGCCACTTCCCGCCATCCACTGAAGCTTAGGAGGTCTTGCAGGTCTCAAGTTTTCGGCCCCACCTGACCTGGAGTCCGAGGTGCAGAATGGTGCATCGGCCACGACAGCTGCCAGATCTTCTACTACACCTTTATCGTGCTGGTCATTGTGAGCCTCATCACTCAGTAGCTTGGAGTTTAATCGCACCGCAGAGTTTGTTAGGTGCCACACCAATTCTGCCTGGTTTGCTATTTGCATTCACGAAGGTGCTCGAAACCCTTCTCTTCATTTGTGGTGCCCCTTGCTTTACACCTCAAGCTTCTTCTCCTGTCATGCAGTGGTTGACTATGCTCGCTGTTCAACAGGTTGTCGAACTCTTGCTTTGAGGTTTCAGTGAGCTCTTATATTTTGGGGTGCGCCCCTCTCCGAAACTCCGGACTTGGGGATTGGAGAGTTCCACTTGAGGAGTTTTGAAGTTGCCACAACGGGATTTCACAGTGGTTTCATGTTAGACCTCCCTGGCGCCTCGGATATTCGTTTAATTTCGATGATTGTCGGGCTTTCATCTTGCCCACGCACATTTGTGCCGTGAGGCTCAAGTGGCATCAAACTTCAAGTCCGGATCATTCTTGTTGCTCGGTATACTGTTGAGTTATGGACTTTCTCTTCAGCCCTAGCTGGCAGAACATGAACCTTCAGCAAATAGCTGTATCCAGACAAATCTGGTCGCGTGTTCATCATCTTGATTTATTCTTCCGATAAAGGAAGACATCTTGTGATCAGCAGGTGCCCTGACCAGTTCGGGAGGCACTGCATGCACAGAATACAACACAAACAGTCTTCCAATCACTTGCATCCTAGGCCTTCCCCTCTCAAGGGACCCTATCCATTTTCGGACCCTTCCCCTCTCCCGTCAAACAAAGTAATAATAATAATGATAGTAATAATAATATCAGCAATAACAATACTAATAACAAGAGTAATAGTAATAGTAAGAATAATAGTAACAAAAACAATGATGAATAACAATAATAATAATATCAGTAATAACAATACTAATAATACTAATACTAATAATAATAATCATAATAATAACCATAATACTAATAATACTAATACTAATAATAATAATTGATAATAATAACAATAATAATCATAATAATAATAATATTAATAATAATAATAATAATAATAAGAATAATAATAATAATAATTATAATAATAACAATAATAATAATAATGATAATGATAATAATAATAATAATAATAATAATAATAATAATAATAATAATAATAATAATAATAATAATAATAATAATAATACTAGTAAAAACCCAAAAACCTTCGTAGCCATCCCACCCCCGGAACCCTGCGAAGGAGCTTCGTCTCCAGCTTCGTGCGCCTGGCGCAGCCTCAGAAGCCCTTCGAGCCCAGCAAGTTCCGGCACCCCAGCGAGGCCAATCCCGGAGGCGGGGCGAATCGACTCGGCGCAGCGCTTCGGTGAAGCTCTCGGCGGTGCAAAAAGGCGAAGGTGGAAATTGGACTGGGAGGTTGGCAGGGTTGGAGGGGCTGGAGGGGCTGGAGGCGGTGTTAGGGAAGGTTGGGTTGGGGGGGTTGGGAGGGTGGGGAGAGTTGGAATCCGGTTCTGTTTCTGAACATTTTCGTGATTGGTTGCGTTTTTCATGGTGAGGAGTTGGTGTGCGCCAGGTGAGGAGGTGCGGGAAGACAAGGCGCGAGGGATCAAAAATCCAAGCGACGCTTCTCCTCAAGAGCCACACCTTTGGGCCGCTCTTGGCCTTTGGCTCGCAGGTGGCAGGTTTCTACTTCTCTGCTTGCGAACTACATTCTTTCTTTGGTGCATTTTGCTTGGATGTTAGGACTTTAACTTTTTGCCAACTAGTAGGTTTTCCATTGAACCACTAAAAGTTGAACTTTTAGCAGAGGAGCAGAAAGAAATCAAGTTTTTTGCTGACATACAAAGGGCCGCCAGGGTACTGTCGTTCTGTGTGTCTTAAGATCTGGGGAACCGCGGGAATGGTAGGCCCCTCGTCTGTACCCGCGTTTTGCGACTCGTCTGTACCCGCTGGACTCCACTCGTCTCTACCCGCGTGGTGGGCGCAGATGAGTCAGATTGATGGCAGTCCCCTATGCTCTAAACTTCACAAATGCAGTACTCACAAGAATTGTGTGGGCGCAGATGATCTTAGGTGTTTTGGGGCTTTACAGCTCTTAGAGAATTTTCTGAGAAACTGCCATAGGTGTCTACTATGGGTCACGTGCGGTACGATGCGGCATTTGCGTGTTTTGTATCTTGTTTGCTTTCAGTGCCATGCTCAAGCCATGTGTGGTGAAGGAGTGTAGAGTTTGACATGAAACGTCCAGCAGCGGCGCTCCGACGACCAGCAGCTGCACCACCAGCTGCGGCGCTTCGACGCCCAGCAGCTGCACCAGCAGCTGCACCAGAAGCCGTGCCGGCAGAGGCTCTTCCGCCCCTAAAACCCTAAACCCTAAACCCAAAAAACTGAACCCTTAAAAAACCTAAACCCTAAAAACCTTAAACATTGAAGATCCTAAACCCTAAAAACCCTAAACCCTAAAACCCTAAACCCTAAAATCCCTAACCCTAAATACCCTAAACCCTAAAAAACCCTAAACCCTGAAAACCCTAAACCCTAAAACCCTAAACACTAAAGACCCTAAACCCTAAAATCCCTAAACCCTAAAAACCCTAAACCCTAAAAACCCTAAACCCTGAAACCCCTAAACCCTGAAGACCCTAAACCCTAAAATCCCTAACCCTAAAAACCCTAAACCCTAAAAAACCCTAAGCCCTGAAGGTCCTAAACCCTGAAGACCCTGAACCCTAAAATCCCTAAACCCTAAAAACCCTTAACCCTGAAAACCCTAAACACTGAAGACCCTAAACCCTGAAGACCCTAAACCCTAAAATCCCTAAACCCTAAAAACCTAAACCCTAAACACCCTAAACACTGAAGATCCTAAACCCTGAAGACCCTAAACCCTAAAATCCCTAAACCCTAAATACCCTAAACCCAAAAAACCCTAAACACTAAAGATCCTAAGCCCTAAAAACCCTAAACCCAAAAAGCCCTGAACCCTAAAAAACCTAAACCCTAAAATCCTTAAACACTGAAGATCCTAAGCCCTAAAAACCCTAAACCCTAAAAACCCTAAACCTTAAACACCCTAATCACTAAAGATCCTAAACCCTGAAAACCCTAAACCCTAAAAACCCTTAGCCGTAAAAACCCTAAACCCTAAGAACCTAAACCCTAATGACCCTACGCCCAAAAAACCCTAAAACTCTCTGTGGGCAGGGATGAGCCCAAAGTGTGGGCGCAGATGATCCTCCGCTGACCCCTTTTTTGCAAAGGGTCAACTTCTATGTATTCGCGAAAGAATCTGTGGGCGCAGATGAGTCAGAAAAGGTGGGCGCAGATGAGTCACTGCTGTGTGGGCGGAGATGAGCCGAAAATGTGGGCACAGATGAGCCCCCTTCCCGCGGGAATGAGTGGTTCCTTGAAATGTGGGGCAACCCTCAACAGAACGCACCCACCGGGGTGCACAAACTTTCCCGCGGTTGGCCATACTGCAACGACGTGCAACAGTTCAAACAACAAATGCTGCAGCATCTTCACCAATCATATTTTGCTTGTCTTTGTGACGGCGTCTATGTTGAACCACGCAACTTTCTTGCTTTGTGTGCCAAGCCTAATGTAAGATTAGCACTATTGAATTTTGCAATCAGTCGTTCCTCTATTCGAATTCTGCTGGAGTCCTGTTGCAAATGCGCTGACTCCATAGAGCTTAGAACCAGCGAGTGTTGGTTGCAGCAACATCTCACATTTGAACTCTAGACTAAGATAATTTACATCTACACCGTGGCATTTGAAGAACATTATCGCGGCATAGCACATCTTTGCTTGACAGGAGAAGGATGAGCCCAACCTTTTGCGACGCTGCTTGGGCCAACCTGATCCGTCCAACACATGGGCGGCTTGGCACAAAGGCGTCATGTGGCTGCGGCGCAGACGGGCTGGTTCGTGGGCAGTCAGTCGGGTTTTTTGGATGAAGCAGCAACTGTTTGGCAAACAGGACATGCCAACTCCACCATTCTGAGCATCATCAAGACAACTGGGCATCCACCATCGGAATTTTTCAGTGGGACATCGTAAAGATCATAGGAGTTCTACCGTGCCGATGCCAGTGGCAGTGCTCGAACATGGATAGCCGTTGGTTTGGTTTCCCGAAAACCAGAAGCTTCCCTGAGATATCCACAGGGGCGCGCGGCCCCGACTGAAAGCAGAAGAAAAGAACGACAGAAACCCAACTGAAGGATGCAGTGCAAGCGTGTGGAGCTTTGAGGCATCCAACTTGGCGACGCCATGCAGCGCTTGGGTCTTCCTCTTCTTCGTGGTGTCCCTCTCCTGCGCCGCCACCTATGCCTTCTCCTTCTTCGTGTACTGGGCTGACGGCAGGGGGCGCTTTTTTTTCCTCGGTGTGTTTCGGCCGGGAGGTCTCTGGAGATCGGGATGTGACAAAGCGCCCAACAGAACGCGCTCCCCTGGGAGTTTGGAGCAATGGGGCCCAAAGGCAGGCTGAAGGCAACCAATTGGCGGGGGGCACCAACCGCATGCGCAAAGGCTTTTGCCGTCGTGCGTCGGGTGGTACCTTCCCACCGCGAGGCCACCAAAAGGTCCTTGGAACATGTCGAATGTTGGTGTGAGGGTGCAGGCTTCACATTGAGATCTTGCGGGTGGGTTTTGGTTTCCTGGAAACTGGCGGATCGGAGCATCGGGAGGGGTGCTGGGGCCCTGGACAGCCCAAAGTCAGGCACCAGCACCAACTTTTTCCTGGGCCTCCTGTATGTCGTGGCGAATGCCTTCTGTCTCTGGAGCATCATCGAGCTGCCCGGCAAATACGCCGAATTGGGGACAGAACATTTGCGGGGTGTCCGATTGAGGGACCGAGCGACTCAGCACACCTTACCGGGGCTCTCTGGAAAGTGCCGAAGGCGGGGATACGACCGCATGAAGGGGAGGTTTGGTTTGCGCGCCGCGTACTCTGGCTAGAAGACTGGCAGAATGTCAGAGGCCCAGGAGTCAATGGCGTTCAGACTCTGTCTCAGTGATGGAGCCAAATCACATGCATTGCAACGTGGCAACTATAGGATGCCCTCCACTCAATCGGAGCTTCATTCTGCTCTCGAGACAGCGTGTGAGTAGTGGTAATTATGTTGATTGGTCAGCAGGAATGCGCATGGACCCTTCAACAAGAACTGTCAACGCCCTGATGGCATCATCTGCTCTTCTGAAGGGGATACTGCGGTTGTTTTCCACTCAAGCTACTCCTCTGCAGATTGCATGTGCAAAACATCTCATAGAGAAATCTCGCTTGGGAGACCCTTGCTTTGGGTTTCATGTCAATTTGAGCGGCTCAAGTCACATCTCTAGCCTTGGAATGGCGGATTTCCTCCAGGAGAAATCGGGGTGCGTCCTGCTGGGTGTCCTTTTAGAGGTTTCAAAGCGGAGCCAAAGAGGTGGGGATGTGGGTTTTACGCGGAAAGCGCCGCCGGCGTTTGCATGCTGCCCTTGGCTCCAGGGCTGCAGGGGCAACCCCCCAAAAGGATGGGACCCACCACGGGCTTCAAAGGACCCATGGGCTGAGGTTCTTCCTCACCACGTTGTGGTTCCACGCCATCCGGCTGATACTGGGCATGCCGCGGCTTCCTCGCAAGGACTTCAGACAAGGCCTGCGAGTGGTTCGGGCTTGGGCTGGGTTGAGGATGGTTGCGGTGGTTTAGGGTTGTTTGGGGGGGAGGAGAACAGCTTGCGGGGCTGGCTGGCTTCTAGTTCTTGCAGTATGTACGAAGAGTTGCGCAACTTCCTGACGAGCTTTTGAGGGACGAATCGAACTTCCAACTCTCCCCTGACGCGACGCGGTTGGCCTGTGGGCGCCCGCCATAGTCGAACATGCTTGTCGGCCTAATTCTTGTGCCATTGGGTCAGTCCTTATACATGTGGGTGACTTTTTGAAAGGGAGGGGACACCACTAATTTTAGAAATTCCCTATGTCCGCGTTCTGTGCGCTTTCAACAACTCCTATCGAACGTTGATTGAGTTGCCTTTGGGCAGGGTGCTGATTCATGAATAACCTCCATCAAACAAATCCGGGGGATCCCTTTTTGGTGATTGGATTCCTCTTTCTTCCACCGGGACCCCTGAAGTGGTTGACTCGTCGGCGTTGGGGTCCTGCGAGCAGCTGTCAGGCCTCCCAGAGAGCGCGCGCTGCATCCTCTCCTACTGCTTGCTGTCACGCCAGGAGGAGCGGCGAAAGGCGGCTTTCTCCTCAACGAATTTCCTTGGGTTCGCCAAAAGTGTATCGTAGCCCTTGGCTTACCTCCAGTTTCCGAAAAGGTACTTGTTCGTGATTGTTTCCCTTGACAATCGTCGGCCCAATGCTGTTATGTGATTGTTTCCCTTGACAATCGTCGGCCCATTGCTGTTGTAGCAGGTAGACAGGGGAACCGTCATGTAGCAAGAGGTAGACGCCAGTTTACCTACTATGAAGCGCTGGGCCAGATTTTGGCATCGAGTCTTTTCATGAGAACAACCCCCCGCAACAACCGCTCCCCGAGATCCCGTTAGGAAGGCGTTGGCGCCACACCTTACTCGGTCCTGTGGGAATGGTTGCCGTCCAAGCATTCCCCAAAAGGATTCAAATGTGATGAAGGTACGTACACTTCTAGTTTCCCTGGCGAGAACAAGTGCGGATCGAACTGTCGGACACCCCTTTGCGACGCAACGCTCCCGGTGACGTTTCTTAATGGGATTTGACAACCCTACAGTCTTTACATGTGCATGTTATTCTACTGCCAATAATGGTTTCATGCCCTTTTGCATGAACCAAAGTGCTTGGAATGTGCAGAGGTCAGAGGTTGCGTACATGGAGACGACTTGTGGGCGACTCAAATCACCTTCTCAGGACCAAACGTGGTTGAACCTTTGCACCCGCCCACCCGAAGCTGGAATGGAAGGTTTCCGCGACAGCTATTTTGCGATCCCGGGACTGGTTCCCGCGGGCATTTCGGCCGACGCTTGTCCGAAACCCACGGGGCTTGTGCTTCGGCCGATGTCCCAGTCGTGCCAGGAGTGCTCCCAGGAATGTTTTCGCACAGCTTGTGAGGCGCACCTGGCCAACCTCGCGCCCTGGCTGATGGGTTTTGCCTCTTTGGTCGACCGATTCGAATGGGACATGGGGTTTGGGAAATGCTTGAAAAACCGCAGCGAAGGCTTCGCTGCCGGTTTAAGCTCCAAGCACGTGCACGAAGAATTTCTGGCTTGCGGGGCTTCCATTGTAACAGGCAACCCTTGAACCTTCGATGGTGCTCATGCTCACATTCAGGTCTGCGGGGTTGTCTCAACGGGAGCCGGGGGCGCACTTTCATTTGAGCCGAACGCAACCAGGCTGCTCGGCGAGCGTGCCTATATCACTGTTCTTTACCAAAACCCAGAGCGCTGGAACATGCGGACAGTCGCTCTGCCCAACTGTCGGATTTGCATGTTTGTCATTCCAAAACTGCAACAATATCCAGCAAGCCTTTCCATGTGGACGTCGAGTTTGGGATCGAAGCTCGACACTCATTCTGCCAGCCATGCAGACCAGTCGGAATGCGCCTAGGATGCTCGCTCGCTGATCACTACTGCGGTGGTGAGCGTGTCCAGCGCGCTGAACGTCGTACAGTGTGCGCCTCCGCACGAAGATGGCCGAAACCCTCCCTCCGTCAAAGACCCACAAAAGAGTTGAGGCCGTATTTGGCCAAAGTTCGGCCTGGGAAGGCTCAGCCTCGCTGCTGGGCCGGGGCTTTCTGGGAGGGGGGTTTAGGTAGGAAGCTGCTGCCCGGAAGGACCAATCCCAGTTGCCAGCCTGGATTCGACGCAGTTGAGTCAGGAAGATGCTCAGCCGGAGAGTGTCGTTGAGAACCCAGCCGGCTTCCCCTTTGAATTCTGGTGCTTCCCCTTGAAACCAAACATCTAGCCAAGCATATTGACTCCTAGACAGTAGTTGCCAGATGGAATCTTGGTACACATTTGGCCATTCAATGGTTGGTCTTGTCTGGTTGCTCTGGTACATTCGTCTTTGGCACGCTTCAAGAATAGCTCCAGCCACCCTGGCAGCCCCAGGATGAGCGACGCAGATGGTTTCGTCGCCAGTCCGGCCTTTCAATGCCTTTGAGCTTTTCGAATTTCTGATCGTCCATGTTTCGAAAGGCTTTGCCGGGGCCTGGTTGGTCAAAAAGGAACATACCCTCGAATTTCTTGTTTCTCGTCGGCACTGCCTGTCAAGGAGATGGACTGCAGAGATCACTGCCGCCAACAGATCACAGCGAGCCTCGGCAGCAGGTTTGCCTTGCTGGAAGGCTGGGATGCTCCGTGCAGATGCCAAGAGGTCCACAAACATGTTACTGTCCTTTGTGCGCACACCCAACACGACAGGCGGCGAAGGAGGACAACAGGATCCCTGCCATGCCCCCATGGGACGATATGTTGGCACGTGCTTGTGTGTTTGCGCATACGTGAGTACACATACATATATATATATATGGGTCAGTGTCCAGGGTCCCCAGCCCCCCCTCCCCCCCCGGGGCGAAGAGCCCTGACCCAATATATATATATATATATATACACATCTATACCCGCACGCATACACATGCCAGTGTATTGCACAGAAGCACCTTCCCTTACACTATAATGTTGCAATGTGCAACACGCCAGCACATTACAATACACTACGTTACGCTACATTGCTCTACAATACTCCACATGGCTCTCCACTAGCCAATCCACATTTCTCTACAATACTCGATAATACTCTACATGTCTCTACATTACTCTACAGCAAGCTACATTTTTCTGCATTACTCCACATTATTCTACATTGCTTTATGTAGTTTCAATGCACCACATTGCATCATATTACAAGACATAACATAGCAGATTGCACTATGCGCATGGCCTTGCAGCAGCGGCAAGAACTTGGATATATGGAAGGCTTGCAATAGGATGATCAGAGAATCCTGCAGAAAGACTTGTTCGTGGGAGTTCCTTGCTGGTCGTCAAAGCGCCGCATCGCTTTGGATCTTCTCAGGGTGACAAGCTGCTTCAACTCTTGAGATGAGAGTTCGAGTACCATCGCCGAGAGTGCCTGCAACATGAACCTTGTCCAGCCGCCCGGAACGAACAACTCACCGGAGCTTGCTCACAAGCGCATGCCAGGATGCAGACTCGTTGCTTCTCTCTTCTAGATGGTAGCGATCTACCCATTGAGCTGCAAGTCCGGAGGGTCGAGCTGAGGACGTTGTCACAGGAGCTCAAGATTCTCCTGGAGGCGTGTGACGTCAAATGACGGGAGCTTTAAGTTGCGGGGCCAAGTCTCTTGCTTGGTGGGCAGCTGGATACCATACTTGAGACACGAGCCTTCTCAACGATTGCACCCATAGGTGTCCTTTTTTAGGTTAGTTTCCATGATTGCAGCCCCTTCTCAAACATATGGACATGCTAAGTTCCCTGTGCCCGCCTCTGCCAGGCCTTCCCCGAAGGTTTCACATCGACGTCCCACGACCGGGACGAGGCCCGCTTCGGGCCGTTCCGACTCAGGGTGGTCGGTGTCCCTGTCGAATTCTCTTGCAAGCCAATCAAAAGGGGTCCATTTGCAGACAGCCCTCATTAGTTTTGGAGCCATTTATTGCAGGGCCGTATCAATCCGATCGCGAGCGAACTTGGCTCCTTTGTCCCCCTTTCAGGTCTTAGTCAATGAGTTTGAGGCGGCCGGGTTGCGCGCAGGTTCAGTTCCGGAGAAAGGATTCTGGCCGATGGTTCGGGATACTGAGGCGAATTGAAGAACCTTTGGAGGAAGCGACAGAGTCATAGGTGTCCTTTTGAGGTTAGTTTGGCGAAAAATAGATGGGTTCTACTGGTTCAGATGGGTTTTATACGCCATTTACCAGGGCCATCTATTTTTGGCCCAAAGGCCACCTATGGACAGAGTCGGCATGACAAGCCACAGGAGGTCCGCGAGATGCGGCTCCAGACGGTGCGAGAGGCGCTTGACGGCACGAAGGCGCGCTGGAAGTTTTTGGGTCGGAATGGCCAGGTGAAGAGGCATTTGCCAAAAAAACCTCGTTGGAATCAATGGGCCACAACAGCTGGTTCCGCATGGATGGAGCCAGCGGAAGCCCCATTTCTATTTGCAAGCAGACATTTCTGGGACATCTATTCGTCTGATTTGTAAGCCCTATCTTTCGGCCTGAACCAGCCGGTGTTTTTCAGGCATCTCAACTGGAAGGCGTTTGAGCAGAGAATCATGTTCATTCTCCCTTCACATTTGTAAAGAAGACTCTGGAGGGCAGCTCCTCGGCGAAGTCACCGAGCTAAGCACCTCCTTGATTGAATGGCCTTGGATGTTCCTGAAGCCCAGCTTTGTGCCAACTTCCAGCATCTCTGAACGCAAATCGTTTGCCAAGACTTGCCAGACAATTCTGCGGTTTTCTTTCCCGAGTTTCGTCGCGTGATTCAGCTTGCAGGCTCAGTGATTGGGCGAACCCTCTTTTGGCGAATGGATCCAGTTTGGCGAACCCTCCTTTTCGTTTTTTTTTTGGTGTTTTTTTACTTTTTTTTTGGGGAGGAGGGGTCTTTGAACATGGCAAAATAGCGGAGACGTTCGGGCATCAACATCCAGCCTCGTCCACGCCACAATTTGTTTGCCGCTCTCGTGGCAGCCACCTTGCAACATGCAGATATCCGGCTGAGCCATGAGCAAGATCACATATTAGGTGGCCTCGGCGGTTTCGTCGGCCTGTGTTTCATTGGTTGGAACACTTGCCAGGGGCGACTTGCCAGCATGACATTCGCAATCTCCAGGGTGTGTCCGCATTGGTCCATTTAGCGGGTCCCGGACCCCTTTCTTTCTCAAGCCGCCGATCTCAGGTGACGTCCCATGGGTTTCATAGTCAGTGAATGCGATCCCTGCAGGGGGCGCTGGATCGCGCCTCCTTCTGGCTGCAGTGCATCGATTCAGAGTGGGCCGGCGCTCACGGGGACCAGGAGAGGAATGCCGTGAGTGTTGCGCGAGGCTTTGGCCCATGGGCGAACGAATATCTGGCCATGGGTTGTATAACCTATGGCGATCCCATTTTGGGGTGGATGAACATCCATTTGCCACCTAGTTTGATGTTCACCGGGGGTACCTTTGGTTTTGACCCACAGCCATCTGTCTGGGAAAATCGGCCGAACATCACCACGGATGCCAGAGGGCTTTTGTGAGACTCTCGGTTTCCTGGGCCTTTGATCAGCCGAAAACAGGCACATGTCCGAAGGCAAGCGGGTCGTTCGTCCCGGCACGAGCACGAGCAGCACCGAAAGGCGAAGCAGTTGGGAAACACGGGTTCGCTGGAGCCAGAGGTCGTGTCATGCTCTAATGATATGTATCACCAGCCTGGCCTTGTAGCACAGACTTGGCTGCATCCTGGAAACGCAAGAAGCGTGTCAGTGGCATCAAGTTACGTCAAGCTTTGTCCAATGCATCCGCCCTTGGCCTGTTTGAACTCGCAGAATGGAGGACTCCTTTCGTGACATAGGCAGGGGCAAAAGGAGGACCACGCACCCTGGGCTCTTCTCCTTTGGCAGCTTTGACTCCGATGAGAGGCTGGGCAGAGTACGCATGACAGGTTTCCTCCAACAAAGGGGGGGATCCTCGAGGATTTCTTTTTGGGCGCAAGTCAAGCCGAGAGCGCCGCTGGCCCAAGAGCGCAGGAGTCCTACAGAGAGGGCTTGCAGCTTCGCGTGGAGGATGCGGCCAGGCACTTCATTTACCTGCACAGGACAGGGACTTCGGGGCCTTCACCCACCTGGCTGTGGCTCAAAGACATGGCACCAAAATGGCACCTTGGTAAATGGCTGTAATTTTGAGCCATACCCACCTCGGTACCTTGAAACGGCGAGCCTTTTCGAGGGAATTGGATGCCATGGGTTTGCCAAGGTTCGGACTGCCTTTGTGCTTTTTTCTTCGGCCAGGGACGCATCGCTTTCCACAGGCCAAGGGGTTAAGCTGCCGACGGTGTACCAGCGAGGCATCCCTTCTGAAGAGCGTAGGGGCTTGTTGCCAGATTCGAGAATCTGGAATGGGTAGTTCGATTTTGCTTTCCTCAACACGCACACACACACAAACGTTAGACAAGACAGGACAAGACGGACCCACAAACGCCTGCACCATCTTTCGGAGAGGTGAAATGGGTTTGACAGGTTTGATTCTTGACGACCTGGCCAAGTGGAAAATGTGGACATCCCTTCTCGTGGACGTTTTGCCTTCAACCAAATCGAAGGAGCCGAGCTCATGCGATCTGCCGGTGTTTGTGTGTGTGTGTGTGTGTGTGTGTGTGTGTGTGTGTGTGTGTGTGTGTGTGTGTGTGTGTGTGTGTGTGTGTGTGTGTGTGTGTGTGTGTTTGTGTGTGTGTGTGCACGCCTACTTGGGGGATGTTGCGGGCTCGCCCCATGTCGAGACAAACCAGATTGCTTTGGCCGATTCAGGAAGAAGCCATCATGACTTCTTCCGGACTGGCCCACTGATTGCTGGTTGGGTTCCGATGCGGTTCCGCGAAGCCCGAGATCTTTTAGCAAGCTGGGTGGAAGGTCAGCCCTTGACTCTTTGAGCCGACTCTTTCTTTGGCCTTTCTATTTTGCAAGAGAATCGATCCTTCATTCTTGACATGGCCTGAAGCAGCTCATTCTGATGAACTCAGAGCCAGGAAGGCGATGTGTGCGAAGAACAGGCTTGGTTACAACTGCACACACACAGAGACACACATGTACAGATATTATATATATATAGGGACATATGTATGTTCATGAACATATCAAACTACATTCCGCGCCAATTGTCATTGAGACAAACGTGCGGAGTTTCTATTTGAACAACTATCAGCTCAAATAGAGTCAGCAAGGCTATCAGTTGTTCGCCTGACAGGGCGAACACGAGCGCACACATTCCACAAAACAGGCACAGCTATCTACGCCATTCCTTATGTTGTGGCTGCGAGGAACTGCCGCATTCTCAAGAAGCCAGGGCAATACCAGGACGCCGAGTCCGGGAATCCGGTTGCACTCGGGAGTGCGAGTGATTATGGGAGAGGTGGTGAGGCGAACGGTTGGCAAGAGCTCCTTTGCACCTTGACGCGGGGCATAAAAATCGAAGCTGACCGGGGCTTCGATTCCGAGAGATGCTGCGAGCCGAAAACATACTGATGACATTTTCGTCCCCCAAACAACTTTCGCAGCTTGTTGCCAAGTGGGGCCATGAGCTGGGTGGCACATCAGCTGACAGGCCCAACAATTTTTCGCAGTGCTCGGGGTTGGGCCTGCCAAGATGCTTCAGTCATGTTTACATGAAGGAATTTCGGTTGGCACGGAAGTGGAACGGATATTGATTGGCAGTATGAAGCGCTTTCTCCTTGTTCGGAATGGTGGACGTTTCTTGTTTCAAACTCACTTCCATCACAAGGTTCGGACACATACGGCCTACGGCCCAAGTCACAGTGGGCGCTTCCCCTTGCCGCGCATTCTATCGGTGAAAGCCTTGCTTCCGGAGGCTTTCCTGGGCTTGGGGGTTCGCTCTTATCTCCCTGGGACCCACACCCGGATACTATCCCATGGCCCCCTGTGGTTTGACAGGCTTACCCAAAACAAGTCTGAAGATCGGGGTTTCTTCTCTTTGACCTTCCAGTTAGGGGATGACTTGCAAGGGGGTAAAATCATAGGGCCAGAAGGAATCCTTTCTTAAGAATCGAGTCTGATTCAATACCTCGAAGATTTATTCATCAGGGGTCAGCTAGTCATAAAGTTACCCTGCTTTTTTTCCGTGTCCTTGTCGGGAATTGATTGACACGTGTCTTTTTTAGGGGACCGCACAGAATGGCTTCGGTTTTTCTTTTGGTTTCCCTTCTTAAACCAACACAAAAGGGGTACCCTCAACAAAAGACACACTCATTTGGCTCATTTGGTTCGTTTTGGTTCTTTCGCCACACCCCCCTCTGAATGGGACCCCCCCAAACAGCCCTCCCTCCCTCCAAACACACCCTCGCGGGAAAGACTAAAAACAGACATTTTTTGAGGTGTGTTTGGAGGCGTGGCGTGTTTGGGGGGTCCTAGGAAGGTTCTATGATTTCGGGCTTGAGAAAACCATGTCTGGTCGAAAGCTTCGGAAGTTTTCCGAGAGGACCTCATGGTCTTGGCCTCTACTGGCAGCAACGAGGCACGCAGCGGCCACCCTGGCAGTGCTATGGTGGTTTGTAAACTCAGTGTGTGCCTTTTTGGCGCGGGAGGGCGGGAGGGGTCTAAAAGGAAACCCAACCAAATCCATTGCCATTTGAGGCCTTGACATTGAGACAAACGCTGGGCCAGAGAAGCCCGAATCCTTGTCAACCACCCGATGTCCTTTGTTGGCGGGGACACCCTCGAAATGCTGAGTGGACATAGATCCCCATTCGAATGCTGTCCGCTAGAAAGGGTGCAGCCAATCAAAGTCATATCTTAGTAGGAAAACAAGCTTTGGCATTGTTTGGAAGGCAAACCGAAGGGACAGCAACCAGCTGTGAAGAACTGACTAATTTGGAGACGTGCCCCTTTGTGTGCTATACTTGGTAGTCGACGTAAGCAGGTGAGCTGGCAGCCAATTTGAGATCACATTTGTTCCTTTTTTTCCTCTTCTTTGCATGAGCCTTCATTCGCGCATTTCGGCACAGAGCTGTCGCTTTCAATTATACTTTGTTTGGCCGAAAACAGCCATGTGAGTAACTGCAGTGTAGGCGCCAATTCCCTTGGCCAGCTGAAGCCAGCAACTTGAGCTGCCGCACAGATTCTGTGCGGTGGCTTACACCTTTGTATCCCTCGCAGGTTTGACGTTTGGCGAGTGTAGAAAATCGGTGGATTGACAATAATCTGATGCTCGGCTGATTTGTGCGAACAGAAAAACATCCATGGGAAGCTTGTGCTTCAAGCAGATGAGCACCTTGTACAGTTGAGACTCTGACGACGCTTGTATTGCCAATTGCTGTTCCCAGAGTTCTTTTTCCGCCAGATCTATATCAACTTCATTGCTCTCTTCACGTGTTGTGCCTGCCCCGTGTGAACATGCTGGAACATGCAGCAATCTGGCACCCCAGAGTAGCACAAAACAAATTATGCAAGCAAGCACCACACCTCAATGAAGCAATTCTTGACCACCCCGTAGGTTGGACATACAGTTGCAGCCCAGTTTGCTGGGGAGGGGAGGGGCAATAAGAGGGAGGCTGTCGCATTCCCTGGTTAATGCGGAGCTCGCAAGGCCTGGAAGAATGGCCTGTCTGTATGTGTTAAGAAATATCTGATGCGTGATGATACTTCCTCTTCAAGAGGACGCCTATTACACAAGTAATCCATATCAGAGCATGGACCTCGAAGCGGGTGCAAGTTGGACATACGGTCGACATGTGGACAAGCTGCTCTTGAGGATATCGCCCTAGGAGGGAAAAAGGGGGATAGGCTTGCAGGTGCTCAGTAGAGAAGTAACAGGGTGTTTGGGAATGAACCGGAAGGGGATTCCCTAGGAAGCCAGGGATGGTTTTTGGGGCCCTGAAGCAAAGTAGCAAGCCATTTTGGGTTCGCGGGTGCAGGCCTTTACCTACCTGAAAGAGGACTATGGCAGCCAGGGCCGTCGCTTCGGCAGTGCCTGCTTTGGCTTCCAGGGCAATGTGGAGACGCTTGGCTCTAATCCCAAAATGCATTGGATGCTTTCCGCGGAAATCTGGAGTAGGGCCGGCCTTTTTGATGAGGCGCCTGGCTCTTTCTCTCGAAGGTATGTTGGGTTGGCAGGTCGAAGGTGCGAGTTGTGAAGGGCAACGTTGGGAGGCTTCGAGGTTTCAAGGGAGATACCGATCAAAGAGTCAACAAGCCACCAAATTCCAGCGTGCCTGGGAGCGTTTGTTTTGTGTACTCGCTTCTGGTTCAACTCACCCTTGGGAATCTTGCTTGGTATTCACGCTGCCTAAGCCCCAAGCAAAGCGGCGTACTTGGAGAATAGTCGGGTACCAACCGAAGAATGTGCAGCCGCCCTGTTGATTCTTTACCGGGTTTTGGGTGGACCCCTTTGGAGCCAGCTTTTGATTGTGGATCTCCAGTGGTGAGTGCAGCTGACGTTTTCTGACAGGGACGTTGACATATCGGCACGATAAGTTGGGCCCTCTTGGCGGACATCTCTTTCAGGCCTAGATCAGCCAACATACCCAGCCTAGCATGAACAAACCCCACCCCCCCAAGCCCTAAACCCGGCCTAAACAACTTCCGGCCATGGCCAGACGCCAGGTTCTCTCGCTTGGGGGTGTTAAGACGCTGCTGGCAATGTTGACTGGTGACAGAAGCTGCGAGAGACAGCATGGTTGCCTGTTTTCACAGACACAACAAACAACCTGAAATAAATCGCACACACACAGCCATCTGGAATCAAATCTCCATCCAATCTCATCTCGAAGCTTTAAAGGTCACTGGAATGTGGGGGAACCAAAACAGTTGAATACTGCCGGGAAGTTTTCCAGGTGCCCAGATCGGCACGGCCTAAGGATGCCCAAGGACATGTCGCCGGAGGACTTCCATTCGGCGACCATGGAGCTCAGCGCACGGATGCAGCAGGAGATGCGCAGGGGGCGAGGTTCTTGGGGTTCTTGGTTCGGCCTTGGATCTGTCAACTTGGAAAACCAGCGAAAGACCAGCAAAAACATCTATGCAGCTCGGCGTTTAAGGGAGGTTCTTCGTTCAATCACCCCCGTCCCCCCAACCCCCCCCCCCCCCCCCCCCCGTCCTCCCCGCCTGGAAGGGTGAGTCATTTCCTTTGACTCGGTGGCTTGCCAAGAGGACATCAGCCTGGTGGCAGGCTACGGCTCGAACCCAGTGACCCGCGGCTTGGACAGGGTGCGGTCTGGGAACCCCCGAGATCATAGGTGTCCTTTTTAGGTGAGTTTGGCTAAAAATACATGGGTTCCACTGGTTTAGATGGGTTTTATTTCTCATTTACCAGGGCCATTTACTTTGCCAAAAGGCCACCTATGCCCGGGATGTTTTTTTGTGGAAACCCGGTTCAACAGGAACGTGTAGCATTGGGGTGGGGGACTTGGGGACCACTTGAACGGAAGCTTTCCCAGCAAACAATGCATACGCCTTCACTTAAACATGATATTGGCCCAACCTCGTCGCAAAGCGTGGAATTCCTCCTTGGAGGTACTGTAGACATATACTAGACCCCATTTTTGATGCAGAGGTTTAGTTGAGGTACCGGTTTCCAGTTTAGGTGACTGACCCGCCCACTCACCCACCCGCTGAATTGGCCACACATTTTCATGCGACCGCCCTGATATGTGGTTGGACACAAATCCGCAGCTAAATGATGTCCACCAAGGGTCCCCAATTCGAATTCATAGCCACTTCAGGTTATCACTACACCATGGTTCTGGACTCGGATACCGTGTGCCCAAACCGCAGCATCGAGAAACTGCTAGCCACCGCGGAGCACTCGGCAAACCAGCCCGGGCCTCATCTGCCTTTCTTGAAAGAGACGAGCCGCGGGCTCCGAAAGGGCAAGCCAAAGCTTTGGTGGGATTCCATTTACAAGGGCACTGAGCTCCAAAAGGAGACATACCCTCAAGTCCATTTGCCCCTGCGAATGTCTTTTTTCCCTTGGGCTTGTTTTGGGTGACACAGGGGGCACAAAGTACCTGCAAGCACAGATCATTACCTGTGGGTCTCCCAACCCCGAACAGTTCGATTCACCCTGGCTCACGCGGGCGTATTCCCACATGCTCGTCCACATGTTTGCTGGGGAATCTTTCTCAGTTGGCCTGGTCCAAGTTTGGTTCGTGGTTTCGATGCGCGCGCTTTCAAGGCAAGGGGGTTGAGAACTGGAAACGGAGACGTGTACCGGGTACCGAAGAAGCTCCTTGTTCGTTTTTTTCGCCGCCGAAAATCAAACGGAAGCGGCTAAGCGAAAGCGAGGGCGTACGGGATCATCAACGCCAACTTGGCCAACGACTACACGGCGGACGAGAGCTGCACCTGGCACATGTGGAGGCCGGGTTTGGGCTGCCACATGCGACCTTAAGGGAGTGCCGTGTCCTTCTTGGGGAGCCAGGGAGAGGCTCCGTTTTTTGTTTTTGTTTTTTGTTTTTGTTTTTTGTTTTGTTTTGCAGGGTAGGTTTTGGGCTTCGGTTTGTAAAGATATTGGACAGCGACCGTCTGCCCGATCTGGGGCTGAGGAACGCGCTCATGGAGGTTTCGACGGTGAACCTGCAGCGGGGACAGTTCTGGATCTTCAACCGCGTGGGTTTCTATGGGAAAGGCGGGGGAAGGGGCCCGAATCGCGCTTGCAGGCATCGAGGCAGTGCTGTGTTTGGGACCAAACCGATACAAGGAAGTGGTTGTCCGTGATTTCCCATGCTCTCGTGGAGTTCTTGGACATTCTCGTGGAACTGGTGCGAATGGGATCCAAGGCTTACAGTTCGACTGTTTGAAACAGTGATCCTTAAGCAGAGAATCCTTCAGGGATTTTGCGAAATTGAGGTTGGCTCAACAGATCTTCCATGTGCGAGCTTGCTTGTGGCTCATACGAGGCCCGCCGGAAGGCCTCGTGCTGAGTGGAAGTGTCCATTTGACCGCCGCGAAGAGGAGCCACAAGGAAACCCACATTTCGGGAAGTTTGGGGTCCCGGGACCCAAGGCCTCATCCGCAACGACCTGTACATCCCCCGGTTGATCGGGCGCCCGGGGAGTGTCATGGAGGCCCTTCCCATCGACATCCTCAGCCACGTGCCTTGGTTTGTTTGGACTTTTGGGACGTCTCTCCCCATGCGGGTCGGGACCTGCAAAGGGAAAAACGTTTTTTTTGTTTGAGGATGCCGACTTTTGTGGATTGTTAAAGGGAAACCAGCCATTTTTCAGAGACCCCTATCTTTAAGAGACACGCAAATGGGGGATGTTTGTTGGCTGTGGATTTCAAGGCAATGACCTTTGAGGTGTGAAATGGCGTCAAAACTTGGTTGGAATGACCTCAAAAGTGGCTGTGGTTTTTGGATGATAGAGGGGCACGCCCAGTCCTCTGCAAAAACACCGAAGATTGTCCATGGGCTCAACTCAGGGTGTCTCCCCTCCGGACACACCGAAGGGCTATGTCGCTTGCCTAGTCCAACATCCCCTAGAGGTGGTTGCAAAATTGGCGTGCCCTTTTCTTGGAGTTGGTACCCCGCCCTTTTTGGGTGGGTCAAGGAAAACCGGCCGCGCCATTTAGCGGGTCCGATTCCTAAAACGTCACGCCGCAAATGGACTCATGTTCATGGGGCCTCGGTCGCCCCGGACAGGTTGTCACGGATGCCCCGAATATTGCAAGTCAACCAACCGCATGGGTTGAAATTTACAGGTTTCCTGTGTTCCCTGCTTGCAATGTTTAAGGCAAACACCGCAACTGGGTATCTGAGAACAGCCTCCAATGAAACGCTCTCAGGGAAGGACCCGCCATGCGCCCGAAAACACTCCAGGGCTCCGTACGTGTGCAGTTTAAAGCATTTGGGCCGATTCCAAGATGATGTCCTGGCTCCTGTTGCGGTGATTGATATTCGAGCGCCGTGACAATCCTTCGGCTTCTCATTAGCTGAGGCTTCATGTCGAGGTCTCCTCATGGTTGTTGTTGGGAAGCATTTTATATTTTTGCTTATTGTGGTTTAGTGGAAAATCTCCACTTAACTGCTAAAACTATTTTTGTTTGTTCCAACGTCAACCAAGTCCTCGTTTCAAAAAAAATTGGAGGAACCCCCGTAGGTCTCGTAGGCCCCGTTAAGAGGCGGGCGCCAGTTTCGATTCCGAGGACACCGTGGAGGCCAAGCTCCTGCAGCCGGCCATCGCCTCGGACGTGACCTTGTACGAAGACGTGGCCAGGCGCGGGGTTCCGGGTTGGGGGGCGGGTGATTACCCCCGGCTGTGGGACTCCTGCCAGGAGGGTGTTCTGGAAAAAAAAGGGACCAAAAAAAGCCAAGCCCAGAAAGGATGTGGCCGGTGTCACTCATGAAGGAGAGGAAACGCCGACTCCCCATGATTTCGATGGGTCGAGTTGGAGACGAATCAGATGCATCAGGCCTTGTTTCGGCCAGACTGAGAGTTAGGCCGAAAACGACCCGAGACCCCTCCAAACCATGGTTTGGCATTCCACCCACATTTTGAAGCTTGGGGATCGACCCAGTATTCATTACCATTTTTTTATTTATTTATTGTGAACCATGAATTCTATGTACCAAAACCAAATGCATTTGATGAAAGCCCACTGCCTGGTTTTTCCGTGGCCGGTCGCCCTTGCCCTCAGCGCAGCATTCGACAGCTGGATCTGGATTGGCTTTCGGAAGCCAATGGAACCCCGAGTCGAATTGACATCGGCGAATTCACATTGGCCCAGTCTTTCCGTTTTTTGAAGGGTGCCCCTTTTTCAGGTTGGTTTACAGGGGAACCAAAATGCAAACCGTTCTGTAGCCCCCTATTTTCACACAACCCCAGATCTAGTTCCGTGCCAAGATCTTCTGAATGGTCCAGTTGTATGACTACTGCGAGTTTATTTTCAACGCCTTTGTTGCGTGTTTGCCAGGGATCCAAACGGAGCTGCGGGGGCAAACTTGGTGGCTGGGCTAGTGGAACATCGGTGTTTCGAGTTACCACTTTCTGCGAGTCCGTTTCAAAGTGATACAGTATCTGTGGGCAACCACTGTGGGATTGTTCATACGCCCCAAAGCAACCATTGGCGTGAGGCATCCGTTAGAATTGCCAAGCGGCAACGTGGCTCTCTCAAATCTCGACTCGCGTGAGGAATCCCATCAGCGCCATGTCCCAATCCACGCGATGGATGTTGGGAGAGGTGCGGAATTGCTGTTACCACTCCAGCGGCACCTTGGCGCGTGGCTCGCTCTTTTTGCCCGGCGCGGGGCAAGGGAACCCGTTTTGTCCGGCAGTTCTTGGGGTTTCACTTGGAGTTGTTTCTCGGGGGCTGGTTTGTGTTTGCGACAGTCCCAGGTATCTACACCCCCGTGGTGCAGGCGGGATTCGTTGCGTCACGGGCATTCAAACGGAATTTAGTTTGAGGCTTGAGCAGTTCTTTGGAGTTTACTCGCAACAGCCCTCTACTGTGAGCTTTTGTTTGGTGTCACATCATCGTCATCATCATCATGAGGTCATCAGATCATCAGGTCATCGGGTCATCCGGTCATCGGGTCATCAGGTCATCACGCCATCACCGTCATCCTTAGCGTCCTCAGCATTCTCAGCATTCTCAGCATTCTCAGCACAGTCAATATCAGCACTGTCAGCATCACCAGCATCAGCAGCATCAGCAGCATCAGCAGCCTCATTAGCAACATTAGCATCATTAGCATCATTAGCATCATTAGCAACATTAGCAACATTTGCAACATTAGCATGCGTAGCATCAAAGGCAGCATCAACATCATCCGCATCATCATCATCAACATCAACATCATCATCATCATCATCATCATTATTATCATCATCATCATCATTATTATCATCATCATCATCATCATCATCATCATCATCATCATCAATATGTTGATTTTCAGATTGGGGGATTGGGGTTGAATCCGGCCAGGTCCTCTCCTCGGTGTACAGCCTGTGCACCAAGTGTGAGCTTCCAAAGCAGCGTCCTGGCATCTAAACCCTGCTTTCCCCTCCAGACCAAGGCGAAAACGGTACCGGGCCTCAAACACAGGCTCCATCAACAGCCTTTTCCGATTCGCTGCAGATTTTGGATTGGCCCCTTGGAGTCATTCGGAAGTGCCCAATTGACATGGCATTGGCAGAATCGGGGATGCTTTTCGTGGGAAACCAAAGGGACCGCTTGGATTTTAAGACACGCCCACATACCCCGAATCAGGGAACCCGAAAAGTCGAAAATTGCACGCCAATCTCAAGGCGCACCGCAGGGGTAGGTCGCACGCAGGTTGCTCGCTGGCTTTGGTATGACTCCACAGCCTTTCGCCAGCCGATTCTTGCTTCCTCAAACTTCCACATGCAACCTCACAGTGTCCAGTGGACCCTGTATTCTTCCTTCCTTTGTTTCTGTTTTTTGACTAGTTTTCATACTTCGGACTCATGGGCCCTGGGTGAATCTTGACGAAGCCCACCATGGCAACACGACTCTCCATGTTGATCTCGATGTTCTTCCGCTTGGCCCGGATTTTTTCCGCGAAAATGAGTCCTTGAGGCGCTGGGTGCGGTGGCGCGAGGTGCCCTGCGCCAGCAGCGCGGAGTATTTGTCCCACACGGGCTTCCGGCTCTTCCACGCAGGCCGAGACGAGTCTCGCGATCCGCGTCGGGGAGACTCGCGCTGGTCGCGGGGTTGCGAGTCGCAATCAGAACAAAATTGGACCAACATTTCACGCTGTGAAAAAGGGGGGTCAGGGGCTGACGCTGCCATGAGCCAGGCCTTTCTTGGGCCTTGAAGGGAAATTACCAAGCTGTGGTTTGCCTTTCATAGAGGGCGGAACCTCCCAAATGGCTGGTTTCCCCTTGATGTTCAGTTGAGGCAATCCTGAAAGGGGAGACACAATTCAAGTGTTTGCATCTGCGTGCCCAGCAGGGTGAGCTCCCTTTAGCAACTGCAGATATGACATATGCGCAGTACCGAATATAGAAATACGGCAAGGCACTCGGATCGGACTGTTTGGACGGCACAAGCCTTGAACCTTGGGCCACTTTGGGCCAGTGGCTTTGTCTCGAGGGCCGGTTCCACTTTGTGGGTACGGCATGCATTCGGGGGGTAGCAAAGCGCATCAAACTCCATGACTGAGTGCCATAGCAAGAGGAGGTTATGGGTTGCACTGGCTCCCCCTATGGCAACAAAGACAAGCCAGACGCTTGAAAGGGTCTCTCGAGGGCACCTTTGCCCTGAGAGGACGAAGAACTCTAGACGCTTGGGGAAAGCGTCCAAGTCGGGCGTCCCGATGTCTTTCTTTATTTGAAACGCGCCTTGGCCGCCTTGGCGAAAAGAAATGCATCCGGAACCCCCAACATCACGCGCTGTGATAATTCATTTGCAGCAGGATCCCTACGCGTTGACAGGTCTCGCTTGTTGGCCCTCTCCCTCTCGGCTTTTCTCTTGGACCTACTGTAGAGGGCGTCCCTCTGGTTCCCTCCAATTGGAACCCCAGAATCAACGCCCTGGTGGATTTTGATCGGGGGGACAGCCTCCTGTAAAACTGTCCTCTCTTTGGGGCCCTTCTTTGACGTGGATGGACAGACTCCATTCCGCACCAGCCATGAGGCTTCACCCGATTTGAATACTGGTTGATCCACCATCAAGTGGTGCAAAAGGATATCCGGATTGTGTCCATCAGGACGGGTGCTACTTAGATCTGCGAGGCTAAGACAACCCCGCGCCCGCGCGAAGGCCCTGGCATTCTGCTGGTGAACCTGTGCTCCACGGTGCTGGCGGCGAATCAGTGGGCCCTGGAGCTGGTGATTTTGCCCTTCCTAGGCCGGGCGGCGCCGAAGGCTCCGGACGCGGAAGGCTCCTGGAGAGTTTGGCTTTTACCAAGATGCCATTTGGCTTCACACATGGAAGTGGGGTACTTGGTTGGTGGCTTGGATTGGTAACTGGGGGATTCGAAGGCCCTGTTCACTTCTTGAGGGCAAATGGAAAGCTCTCTTCGCCTCTCACCACTAGCAAGACTGGGGAAGCTGATATCGACTCCCGTCCTGAGACATGGACTGGCCATGCAACGATGATCCTTCAGCCGAAGACCTTGGGCAAGTTCCCGACCCTGCCGGTGGTCTGACGATGACCATGTGAATTTGTGTGCTTCTTGTTTTGGGAACCGCCTTTTTGACTTTTTGGTGGTTTAAGAACGGCAAAAGGAACGAACACCATTTTGGGTCGCCTAAAACAGGCATCTGAAGGGAAACCAAAAGGACAACCACCATTTAAGGGGTCCGAGTCGAAACAAGAAGACCCACCCAAAGGGATCGACTTGGTTTCAGGCTTCTCTGCGCTGCTCTTTACAGTCCTGGCGCTCTTCATCATCCCCAAGGACCGAATGTGGGTCCTGCAGCAGACACCATGTGGCTGTGGGTCAAAACCAACGGTACCATTTGGGGGGCCATTTTGGTCTATTTTAGTGGTTGGATTGGGATGTTCACTGGGGGTACGGGATTTTGACCCATGGCCATGGCTGCTTAGCCTGCAGCCGCGTTTCAAGAACAAACTCAGAGACGAACGCTGCAGCACGTTATGCAATTCCTTCGCACTGTTTCTAGAGCATGTGGACATTGTTCAGTTTGCCGAGGAGAGCCCGACCCATGCACTGTTAGCAATGCCAGGTAGACAACTTCGATCACATGACAGCTAATGCATGATATGATCTGAAGGCCTGCTTGATTAAGCCCGAAGTTTGAATCGCACCCAAGACGCGCGAATTCCAGCCCTGAAAGCCCGTGAGCAGTGTGTGAGCTGCCATCCGCTTATCCGCCAGGGCGTGCAGGGGGCGAAGCAGCAGCTTTAAGTCTTGCAGTGTCGATGCTCAATTTAAGATGGACATGGAGGGACTCGTTGAATGTCCCAGAAAGGCATGAGCGGGCGTCACTTGTCTGCAGGAGCCAAACACATGTTTGGGTGCGTCTCCTTTTAGGGGACCCCCAAAATTGTGGCTTTCCTATTGAAAGCCCGCCAAAAAAGTGCTGCGACAGACCTAGTTGGCGCTTTATCCCGTCGGCTCAAAGACGCGCATTTGGCCGCAGGGCTTCCTGATCCTCGACAAGCTGCCCTCGCTGCGGCTGGGTCGATTCTGCCTGCTCAGCAGCAAGTCTTCCAAGGCCGGGTTCAGCGTTTTGGCTTCGCATCAGGTGTTTTTCCCGAAGCGTCGCAGAAGGGTTCTCCCTTGTTGCGAGCATGCAGGGAAGGCTTCCCAAACAAAAGCGGGACTGTTCCGCGGGGTATGGGCTTTCGTGAAGCATCCTGGTGGGAGCAATGCTTTCGGGCCAATCGTCCTCTACTTTGATACGCGTATTTGATAAACAAGTTGAGCGCACATTGCGCAGGTGAGAGACATCCATTTGGATGGTGTAAATGGCTCCACTTCCTATCTAATCCTTCCTCGCGGCCCCCTACTTGTGGCACCTCGGCTCAGGTGGGGGATGGCAAGTTCGAGGCCGAGCAGGACGCGTGGGGTGTCTCCGCCCCGCAGAATGGGCATCGTTTTTTCGGTAAACATCCGTACAATAACTCAACAAGCATTGAAACGTCATGTCCTGTAAATAAAGATGCCAGGCTAGATCCGAAAACGCGACGGCGTAGAAAACTTGCTTTCTCCGGCTTACTTGCCAGGACCTTACGCGGCAGGACATTGCCTTCTGCAGCCTGAGCAAATGCTGCTTGGAGGGGTTGGCCAACCTTGCTCAGTTGCATTGTTGATGTCGCAACGACCCTAACGCTTGCGTGTGCCCGCGGCGGCGCTTGACCCTTAAGTTCTAAGCTAGTTGCTGGAGGTTGGTGGGTGATGCTGAGGATGCTAAGAGGGTCCAATTGGACTGGATGTTGGCCGGTGATGAGGGTGTTAAGGGGCTGAGGATGTTCAGAGTCCGATTTCGGGACGCCTCACCACGGACAGCGACTTCTAAGCGATGCTGAGGATGTAAACAGTCCACTTCTTGGACCCCTAGGTGTCGCACAGCGTGAGCTGAAGATGTCCCTTGCACGGAAGAAGCAGCTCTTTGAATGGCTGTCGATCATTTGCACGTCGCTACACTAGCGGAACTTGGGCCCCCGCCGTGCGCCCAAACCCGCAAGAAAGAGCAACAGAAACGAACAAAAACCTGAGGAAAAAAAAGCCATCACCAAACACATTTGGCTCCTTTTTTTGGCTTCAGCACATCAAAGCAACCTCACCGTTTTTTGGGCCCCATTTGTGGCAATCCACCGCATGGGCGGCCAATGGCCCCGGCGGACTTGGGCTGTGACTGTCTCACAATGGGAACCTTTTGGATGGTGGTCAATGGAAACCAACGGAAAGGAATTTGAATGCGCTATGCTTTGTGGTTCTGAGGGTTCCAAGTTCAAGGATTTTGGAGAAGTAGCAATCTTGAAGTCACAGCCTTCATGCGGCACAACACGTTGTCTGCCCTTTTGGCTAGGTTCTGATGATCCTCCTTCAAGAAACGGTCCAGTTTCAAAAGGAACGGTCCAGTGATGATGGTGATTGGATTTCCGTTTGTCGGCTGGCTCCATTGCGACAGACATTTTTGGATCCCCAGTTCAGCGGTTCAGGGAGGCAAAAAAACAGAGAAGAAAGAAAGAGAGAAAGAGAGAAAGAGAGAAAGAGAGAAAGAAAAGGAAGAAAAACGGAAACGGCACGCCTGGTTCTAAAAAGCAAGTAACTGGACCATCACCTGGACCGTTTCTAGCTGGCAAAGGCACGCCCATTTTGGGGCTGTTTGAGAAAACAAACAAAATTACCTTGACAAACATTGAGGGCTTGATGGTAAATTGGGACCTTGGCAAACCAAGCGGAAGCCAACCACTTAGATTGCAAATGAGATGTGCGTGCCTTGAGGCTTCCCGGACACTGAGTCCGGCGTCTGGCCCTCCGAGGCACGGTGGCTCCCCAAGTGGGCATCGGTTTCAAGCGGTTGCCCTTTTAAGGCAGCCAACAAAGCAAAAGACAAAGGGGTTGCCTCATACTGCCATTGATCATTACGGGCGGCAATCTTCTCATGGCTCTATGTCAATATGGGTATGTGTCAACATTGGGGGAGGGGGCCAAAATTGGTGGTTGTCCTTTTGGCTTCCCTTTAAGCCAACCTAAGGAAGGGTCCCTCAACAAGACACAACGCCATATGAGGGTTTCTTAAACTAGAGATCCCCCCACCCAGGCCGCAAACACCAAAGTAGGTCCCCGGTTTTGACATGGAGCCCACTTCACTCTTTCCGCGAGACCTCGATCTCGTCTTCTCCTCGCGTGCTGGGGCGGTGCCAAGTGCTCGTGCGGCAGCTGGGGCTCTCAGTGATCGAGCGCCTCGGATGGTGCATCGAATCCATGGCTTTGTGTAGGGCCTAGTGGCAAAGCAGCCTTTGGACATGTGCATCTTCTTTTGTGGTTTTGGTTTGGTGGAAGAGAAATCAAAGGACGTCAGCCATTTTTTGGCAAGATCCATATGTTTTTGGATGTGACTGGGTTTGGAAGGCCTGTATGCGTTTCTGTGTTTTGTGAAGGACACGCATTTATTATTTCCGGTTTGTGGGATTGTGGCCTTTCAGCTTTTGCCACTCCAAGTAAAATATACAACCAGCCCTAAACTTGGTTCCGGTGGCTTTTTGCTTGCCAAGAGGGATCAATCCCAACTAAATCCAGGGACACCCATTAATAGGCAGGACTTGTCTCTTTGGCCCTTGGCCGGGGGCTTCGCCATGCTCATTGCTTTGGCATTTCGCTCCATCAAGGGGTGGCATCGGCACCCTCTGGCCATGTTCTCAGCCCTTCGGGGCACGCCTGAGCCGTGACAAGTTACGATCCTGAAGGGCGAGGGGATGTTTTCCGGCTCCCCCCGACTCCTCTGCTCTGCTGTTTTGTGTGGCCGGGAATGCTTCTCATGGCCTGCTTGCAGTAGCTGACCCTCTTCCCAGCAAAGAAGCGGTCTTCTTTGAGTTCCTAAAGCATCCATCCCGCGGCCATTTCACTCTGACTACTGGCATCCCGCGCTCTCAACCTCCCGGGTGTCCGCTTGCAAGTTCAACCCGTGAGCCCTCGAACATTTGGGGGTTGGCTTAAAATCAGAGAGCTCCGGTTGCGCAGGCTTTAGTCTTTGGTTCCATTTACCAAGGTGCCACCTTTTTGAACCACAAACCATTTGAGGGACCGATCTTTTTTTGGTTTGCTTAGTACACATCGTGCGGGCCACCTGGACGAGGGCTGGCCCTCTCAGAAGGCGGATTCGTGTGCGCGGCAACGGCGAATCGGAGGTTTCCACGCGCAAACCAACGATTGGCAAGCAAGAGTGGTCGATTGCCATGGCCAGGCACCCACGACTTGCTTGACATCTACAAGAATTATGGGGCCCTTCATACTCATGGTTCAAATCACACCACATATCCCGAGCCCATATATCTAAATTGGAATCCGAAAGGTAGTTTGGCTAAACATAGATGGGTTCCACCCGTACTGTCGTATGTCCCCAGGGAACCCCATCCAATTTCTTTGACAAGAAGACACCAAAAAAAACAGGATGGGCAGAAGGGGCTCAGGTCTCATTTTTTTGGGGGAACTCCGAGGATGAAGACACCAAAAAACAGGATGGGCTCAGAATGGGCTGGAGATCTCATCTTCGGAGATCCGAGGATCGTGCTGTCCATTTTCCTCTACTCCCCGGAGCTGATCCTGGGCGTGCTGCGGCTGTGGCGGGGCGTCTGGGCCCAAGCCTCCGGATCCGCGAGCTGGAAGCCCCAGGCCGGGCCTTCACGTAAAAAATCCCTGGTGGTGGGGAAAAGCTCTGCATCCTTCAGCTATTTCCAATACCGACATTCGGCCATGAATTCGCGCTTATTAGCCTTCCCGACGTGGGGAAAAGCGGGAACCCTCTGTTTTCACCCAACCACCAAGAGGGAGGCAGATTTTGGGGCCCTTTCTAAGGAAGTCAGTACCAGTTCCAAGCAACGTGTCCAAGTTTTTCGGGTCGACGTTGATTCCGTTTGTCTGTGGCGGTTCCCAAGCGCAGCATGGGACACTGTTTAAGTTTTTTTTTTGGCGAGCAAAATCGCCTGGGCGTTTGGTACTTCAAGAAGCGATGTGACAGGTGTGGGCCGTGGGCTGGATGGTTGTCGATCTGGCTGTTCATCCATCTGTTGGATTGTTGCCTGCCCATTGCTGTTCTCCTTCGACTGCCCGTATCAGCACAAAGCACGCAATCAGGATTACCCAGCACTTGCCAGCTGGTCATGAGGCCTATCAACACCACCTTGCGAGCCATCAATTGCGCAAGGGACACGTTGCTAAGAGACGCGCAGCATTCAAGGACGACAGGACCGACTCGTCCTTTGATAGGATTGAGGGAAAGGAACACCAGCGGGATGTGCTGCAGACTTGGCCACCCCTCCTGGTCGCTACGCTCTGCCTTCTACGATTCCTTCCGCGCAGCCGAAACCGCGTGAACAGCATAAACTATGTGGCGCTGACTGGAAGTGGCTGGCATGTTGATGGCTGCTTGGGATGGTTCACGTTAGGCCGGGGAGCTGAGCAACAATCAAGTCCTGGGAAGCAACAACAACGCAGAAAACGCTCAAGAAGTGGATACCGGATATCGCCTAGAGAAGTTGGCGCATGTTTTTATTGCTGCAGGATGCGGTGGAGAGGGAAGTCGAGCAGAACCTGTCCCTGTGGTACGTATTCAAGCAGAATCTGGGCAGCACAGAGCCGAAGAGGTGGCCCGAGGTTTCTCATCATTTATTTTTTTTTAAAAAAAACTCCCACCTATTTCGGCTTATCAGAGGTTAGAGGGTAAAAAACCTCGGACAAACACTTAGGCATTTGCGATTTGGTCTCTGCACCAGAGGTCACAGCTATTGGGTCGACGTTTGGGACCGTCTTACATGCGCCATGACAAACATTGGGCGAACGTTGAGCCGATTTAGATCGCTCGCGATCCGCTTCCCACCGGATGGAAATGCAACTTCACCAGCATCCTTGGGCATCCAGTCAGCATAGGCAACAAATCTTGGGCTTGTTTTTGGCATTGAGAAGTTGCGACCCAGGGTTGCGGCCCCGTTGAAGATCGTCCCGGTCTAAGACATGCGCCCTTTATCCGGAGCCGTTGGCTCCGGACATTCCTCGCCTCTTCCTTTGATCGCCACATGCGTTTTATCTTCGAGTGATATGGAGCTGTCAAAACGGGACCCTCCAAAATGGCGGCTTTCCTTTTGGCTTCTCTAAACCAACCCAAAAGGGGTACCCCCCAAAAAAAGAGACGCCACTGTAGGGTGACATGTATCCCTGTAGGCAGGCGATGCCTTGGCTTTTTACTCGCAGGCTTTGAAGGAGGCCTCAGTGGCCTCTTAAAAAAGGGGCTGTTTGGTCCAAACGTGGAACCTTTTTTTCTTTTTCTTCGAACCGCCCTTTTGACAAGAGGTTAGATGTGAACTAATTTCGATTTCATGATCCATTCGCGGTTCAGGCTGTGGTGGGCTTGACGAAGTCAGCATATTTGACCATGGCTTATGTGTTGTGAACATTAAGTTAGGGTACACATACACGCAAACCAAAGACAGACTTTTTGCCACACGCCGGTCTGTTCCAAGGACTTGGTTGGTCTTTCTCTGCGGAGTTGCCTACCTTGCCTACATCCTCACCTGCCGAGTGATCGACCTCCTGGTCCTTTTCATTGTCATCCCCTGGGTGATGTACCCGTGCCGCCCTGAGCATAGCTGATGGCGGACTGCCTATGGCTTTTGGTACCATTTGGGTTTTGGTACCAGCCCAAAAGAAATTGGCTCCAGCCTGGACATTTGTTGGCTGATCACATTTTGAGAGACACCCAAAAGGCCACAAGCTTGACGCGGCATGGGTAGCACTCCCTTTCTCGCAGGTGCAGACCGGCCAAAGGCCAACTCTCCCTTGACATGTCCCTGCCGTATCTATTAGGGCACTTCAAGTGGGGGACATAAATCCCTGTGTAAACAATGCCCCGAACCGAATCCATGTCCAACAAAGACTCACACTCCTTTGGAAAAGAAGCCGCACCACGCGGTCCGCAAGGCCAACCGCTCCATCTTGAGACCTTGGCCTGGTTTCTGTTTTTTTTTCTTCTTTTTCCAGGCTGTCCACCTACGCCATGTGCCGGCGCGTGCCAGCGAAAATGAAGGACTGCTTCCTCTGGACCTGGGTGCCTTGGCAAGGACTTCCGGTTCAGTGTGCCGGTGAATGTAATCCTAGGATTCCCCAATTGCGCAAAGAGTGTTCCGAAAAAAAATACAAACAAAAAGCATGGATCCCTTTGCAGGGTTTTGAAGAGAACAGCTGGAAGCTCGATAGGAATCCTTCCATGCTCTAGCGGTCAAGGTTGTTTACAGGTACCCATCCCATTTGGTTCCCATTCGGAATGAATCCCCGACCTGAATCCATCCGAAGCCGGTTGAATCACTTTGGGAAGGTCCAGGGAAAGGCATCACCTTGGTAGCCACACTGAGTGCCACTCTGTCTTGTCTCAGCCGGAAGCCCCATAGGCCAATATGTGTTTGTAAGAGCCACAAGGTCCCCCAAAAGCCACACCTATCCCATCCTTCAAGAAAGATCCCTTGGAGGGTATGGTGTCAATCCTTCAATTGGTCGACCCGCACGCTGAGAGTGACCAGTGACAAGCTGCGGCTGGCGGATGTGTGCTGGCCATCACTTGCCATGCACGGCACGCAAGCAATGTGTGTGTGTGTGTGTGTGCGCGTGTTTGCAGCTTGCCAACTAACAAGAAACAACAAGATCTACGCCTTCATAAATAGCGCAAGTGCGGATTTGTCGGGAGGATCTGGGATGAGTGGGATGAGTGGGATGATTTGAATGGGAATTGAACCCAGGATTTGCTCGTCCGGTAAGACATGCCCATAGGGCAAGGGATAGGCATCAAAACAAGACTTATTAGGGATCAAACACAACCTATTAGGAATCACTAAAAAACTTATTAGGGATCAAACACAACTTCTTCTCATTCTCATGGGGAGAAGGAAGGAAGGAAGGAAGGAAGGAAGGAAGGAAGGAAGGAAGGAAGGAAGGAAGGAAGGAAGGAAGGAAGGAAGGAAGGAAGGAAGGAAGGAAGGAAGGAAGGAAGGAAGGAAGGGAGGGGTTCTCAACATCGATTTCGGGAATCGGCGGATGCACCCCTTGTTCAATCATCACTTCTTCGATCATCATGGGGGGGCTTCCGCCCCCCCCCACAACCCCCCCCGCTGATTTGCAGAATGTTTACAGAGATTAACGCACCCTTGATTGAATCATCACTTCTTCGAACATCATAGGGGGGGCTGCCGCCCCCCCAACCCCCCCGCTGCTTTTTAGAATGTTTACAGAGATTAACGCATCCTTTGTTGAATCATCACTTCTTTGAACATCATGGGCGGCTGCCGCCCCCCCCAACCTCCACTCTGGTTTTCAGAAGATTTGCAGAGATTTACGCGCTCTTTGTTGAATCATCACATCCTCGATGTATCTTTCTTTCTTTCTTTTCTTTCTTTCTCTCTCTCTCTCTCTCTCTCTTTCTTTCTTTTGTCTTTCTTGCTTTCTTTCTTTCTTTCTTTCTTTTTCTCTTTCTCTCTCTCTCTCTCTTTCTTTCTGTCTTTCTTTCTGTCTTCTTTTTTCTGTTTTTGTTTTTCTTTCTTTCTTTCTTTCTTTCTTTCTTTCTGTTTTTCTTTCTCTCTCTCTCTCTCTTTCTTTCTGTCTTTCTTTCAGTCTTCTTTTTTCTTTTGTTTTTTATTTCTTTCTTTATTTTTTTCTTTCTCTCTCTTTTTTTGTTTCTGTCTTTCTTTCTGTCTTCTTTTGTCTTTCTTGCTTTCTTTCTTTCTTTCTTTCTTTTTTTCTTTCTCTCTCTCTCTCTGTCTTTCTGTCTTTCTTTCTGTCTTCGTTTTTCTTTTTTTCTTTCTTTCTTTATTTTTTTCTTTCTCTCTCTCTCTCTCTTTCTTTCTGTCTTTCTTTCTGTCTTCTTTTTTCTTTTTTTGTATTTCTTTCTTTCTTTCTTTCTTTCTTTCTTTCTTTCTTTCTTTCTTTCTTTCTTTCTTTCTTTCTTTCTTTCTTTCTTTCTCTCTCCCTTTCTCTCTCCCTTTCTCTTTTTCTTTCTCTTTCGTTCTTTCTTTCTTTTTCTCGTTTTTTTGCATGTTTATTTCTCTGTATTTTTTTCGTCTTCATCGCTTGCGAAAGTGCTGCACCTGCCGCGAAAGCTGCACCTGACCTTGGGAAAGTGCTGCGCCTGCCACGAAATGAAGAAGTTTATATTTGATCCCTGACATTTTTTTAAATCCTCTTAGTTTTCATTTTAGTAGGAATTCTAAGAGAATAAGTTTTTTTTGGGACCCCGAATCAGTTTATTTGATCTTCAGGAATAAGTTTTTGGTTGATGCCTCAAAAGTTTATTTTTGATCCCTCACCCATGGGGTTGGGTGTGCCCGTTTTTGTGCAGCCTATTGGTGAGTTCAAACGAAAACCAAGACAAGCCAACGATTTCGGGCTCCCAGTGCTGACACCGACTCAGAGAAAGTCGGGGAATGGTCATGACAAAGACGTTTGCCTGTTTGATTGAAGATAGGATTGGGCATGAGAATTGGTGCAAGACGGGCTCTTAGAATCGTGGCAAGGAGGGGGGGGACACTTCGAGCCATAGGTCATGGAGATCAAAGCGGCAGAGAAGACTTACTCCTGAGCTTCACAAAATCTTGGCAGGATGTAATGAATTCGTCCAATGCGTGGAATTCAATAGTCTTCGCATTTTTGGGATCGTTTGGGATTGCCTACAGTACCTGGGCGAAAAGCTCACCGTTTGTTCATGGCCTGACAGCTTCGAGCTTTGTTTCAGATCGAAGATGGCAGTTTTGCCGCATCTTCCTGAATTTTGAGTGGACTGCCCAGCCACAGGTCCGTTTTCCTTCCCAACATTGCATCCATCTTGAGTGGCTTGGTGGGCACAGGGTGGCTCACTTGTAGAAAAGCAGAACTGCCCTGGCCCAAGAGTTCACGTGTGTTCTGGGATCACTTTGGGGGAGCACCCCTGCTTTGCCAAGCTGCGCACATCCACTTGGCGGATTCGTTCCGACCTTTTGCTTGGATGATGTTGCACGCCGGAATTCAACGCCCCACAGAGGTGAGGTGTAGAGTCCCTGGGACTTTTAGCGCGAGCGCGGTTTCTTTCCGTGCACCCCCCGGTTAATCGCGTGAAATTAAATTAAGTCTCTCGGCCCTGCGCAGCTTCCCACAGTCAGGACGCGCAGGGACCCGAGAAAAGGCCCGGAGGCCCATTCCCGTGAAGCTCCGACAAGTGTTCAAACCGCACCCTTGGACAATGTTGTGTTTCTCGACCACCCAGCCAAGAGAAAAAACGTTTCTTCCCGCAGGCGACAGCCACGTGGGGTACATTCTTTTTCGGCTTTGAGTGGGACACCGAAAGGAAAACCCGCCACTTGAGCCACAATCAAAACCCGGGTAGATGAAGGTTGGTAAGGGACAATCCCAACCATAAATAGCTGCAGCCGCCTTCTTAATTCCTTGCATGGTTCTGGGTAGACCATTTTTGTACCGGGTTTTGATTGTGACTCATTTTGCGTCTACCAAGAAAGACAAACAACATGGCAGATCCATCTTTTGCAGGCCTCGGGCCTGGGCCTCTTGGCTGGATGAGTCAATCCGAAGCAAAGACCGATCTGGACCTTCGGTATCGCAATGTGCCCAAGTTTTCCTAAGAGCTCTGGTTGGACCCAGTTTTTTGATCTCGCATTGTTCATGCCCTTTTCAATGGGATATATTTTTCTTTATTATTTTTATTTTGTATATTTTCACGAAATAATCATTCATCGGATTTTTGGCAATATGACAGACATCCTTTTCGTTTTTGTCGGACAATGATCTCCTTTTGACTTTTGACTTTTGTGGAACACGGTAACATGTTCACGCTTTGGAACAGTATTGAATCTTGTGTTTCGGAAAATGACAGCATATTAGCGTGTTGGAACACTATGCAGCATTTACTGTATTAAAGTTTTGTTTTTTTGTGCAACATGTCAGCTTTACTTTTCAGCAAACGATGACCCCTCGACTTTCGGGAACATGAATACCTTGAACCTGTTGGTAGCATGTTCACCTTTTCACTTTTCCGAACATGTCCACTTTGCGGACAAGAAAGTCCTTGGGACACTTTTTCTTGTCACTGGGTGATGGTTTGCGGTCATAGTTTCTGCCGTGAGCTCTTGCAATCTTGAGGTTCCATGTTCACTCCATCTATCTGCCGATCTGCAGCAGCTACAGAGTTAGTAGCGGAAAGAAGGGTGAGGAAGAAAGGCGTGCCTGCGTCGAAAACAACGTCTTCTTTGACGAGAGCTTGTTGCGCGCGCTTCGATGCGTGTTGAATCAGGTTGTGAGCTTTCCCGGACTTGGTGCTTGGCTGCGCGTGTCGGCTATGGGGCCAACCTTCGAAGGTGAACCCCCATGGGCCAACCTCAGCCATCAACTTAGCGGTCAGCATGTCCAAGATGGTAACTTACATGAGACAATCGGGCGCTGAGGCTTGATACCAAAACGGTGATTGATGCGTTTCTCGACTTCTTTCCTCAACTTTGTGCTCATGGCCGTCTTATGTTTGCCCTTTGTCATTTGTTAGACATGGCGATCCCTTGCCTGTCAGCCCTCCTGCGTGCAGTGAGCAAACGGGCTTACGGAACCCAGCACAGCCCGGCTTCTCAGCAGCAACACGGAGCAAAACGCGGCAAAGCGGTCAGAGACTCAATGAATAGGCGCCGGCCTTGATGGGATCTGAGGAGGGCTTTCGGGGGGCTATCTCTGGCCTTATGAAGCTGGATATCTTTACTTTAGCGTCCACGAAAAACTAGTGCTCCAAGCGCATTGACTTGGGAGCATGGTGCGCAAATGTGGCAAAACTTGGTTCGCATGTCACAACGCACTACTAGTAAGACATGTCCAACGGCAAGCCCATGAGCTTGTGCTCTTTCCTTGTAAATCCAAGAAAAGGGAATTCTTTCCAAGGTTCTTTCATGGTTGGAGCGCATTCCCCCCGAAAATCCGGGTGAAAAGCGCGCAAGATCCCAAGTCTGACCAGGAGGCGGAGGGCGACCTGAAGCGTCGGGCCAATGTCTACTACAGGCTGGGAAGCTTGGATCGAAAATGGGGGCCACAGTCCAAACCTGGCTTCAGTTTAAGGTGGGTTTGAAAGGCGAAACTGGCCGACTTGTTCCAAGCTTTGAAGGGGTTGGTCCATTTGTGTCACTTGGATCAATTTAGGGCCAGTCCTGAGCATGAACCAAGGCCGCCAAGCTTGAGTCTCGCAGCCTCTCCCTGGGCCCCCCCATGCCAGCAACGGTCAATGCTCAGCCGCACGCGCAACTTGCTGGACCCGGAGGGTGCTCACACAAATTGGGTGTGGCTCAAAACGAATCAGCTAGGGTTCCGCAAATGAATGGTCTTTGGTTCTATTCATCAAGGTGCCAGTTTGGTACACGTTGTTGAGCCACAGCCAAGTGAATTCTCGTGTCAGTTGGTCTGCAAAGCATCACCTCGAGTTGGGCCAAATGTGAATGAGTTTCCAGTCGGCGCGCAGATCTTTAAAGCCATGCAGGGAACCCCACACAAGCGACCGTGGAATGTTGGACGTGGTCGCGGGACCTCTTTGGGACGTTTGGAAGGGAGGGAAGCCAAGATCCCATTGGTTTTGAAGGTTGTCAAGTACAGGCTCCACTTGGGAAGTTGGAATTTGCACAGCCAGCAACTTGGGGAGTTTGTGGCAGCTTTCCCAAAGCTGCCAGGGCTGCCCCTCTAGCGCTGGCCGCGCTTTGCCAACTGCACCGCCTCCCTCTTAGGGTAAGTCTTAGGGGAGTCCCCTGGTAGACAGCCGGAAATGTAAACCGTCAGCCGCCCTGAGAACAAGGCGAACCGCCACAGTTTACCCACTGCCTCACTTTCGACCGTATTCCTGGTGGAATTTTCGCATCCCGTAAAGTTTGGGGCCGAGTTGCGGCGTTTTGTTGCGGGTCCTTTTCGCTTTATGAACCCTGTCTGTTTTGCAGTGCCCCCTTTTGGAGTGGTGATAAGGCAAAGCAAAAGGATACCACCCTTTTGTGGGGGTTTCTGAAAAAAGACACACCCGTCTGTTGAAGCCCAAAGATCCCGCTGCCAGTGACCTCTTCGGCCGGGCCGCCTCGGGCTACGAAGACCCGGAGGCACGGGTCGTCGGCGGATTTGGACACATGGCACGGCAGCGAAAGACACAAAGACGTCTACTGCCGTGGCCTTGCTTGAGAGGCAACCTTGATCTCGGGGACTGGCTTTAGTCCTTTCGACCATAATTGAAACGAACAATATGTTGCGTCTTTCAATTCCCCACCGTGTCCGGGAGTTGCTTCTTGCTCATGCTGGCATTGCTAATTCCATGCTGCGATTCCCTGCCAGAAGTGCTGACAACTGCGAGTTTGCAAGCTGTGCGACAGACGCGCTGAACGTTTATGGACTCGGCCCCAACAAAACATCCGAAAGCGCTTCCATTTGTGGAAGCACAGATTTGGATCTGTGTCCGGCGCGTGCGCTGACAAAGCTTGGGTCGCGATCGGGCGTGCTTCGGCGTGCTTCGTGGGAGGCCTTGCTTTCAGCACGGAGGGCCAAGGGCAAGAGCTCGCACGAGGAGCACCTCATCGTGCACCAGGCGCTGTCAGACGGCAAGGGGGGTGGCTCCCAAAATTGGGGTCCTTTCGGTGGCCGCCATAAATGGGGGCTTGGCTTTGGGAAAACCGAAAACCCGAAATCTGAAGCCAAGGGAGGGACAAACTGGAGTCATGGATGCCATCTGCGGTCAACATGTTCATTTGCTCATGTCCATGACGGGAACCCGAAATATTTCGACCGGAGCGGATTTTACCAAGATCTAGAACTGCAACGAGTCACAGAGTCAATCTCGAGAGAGCGTGGGATTGGAAGTTGGGTTACCAGGCTCTGAACCAAAAGGAGGTTGTTCAATCAAGTGGGTGTTTAAACTGCGGGTTTGTCTCATGGCATTTGACAAGGGCCTCCTTATGGTTTCGTAAAGCAACATTAAGGGTGCCCTCAACGCGTGTGTCAAGGTGCATGTAGACCTGCCCCCCTCCTCTCCTGTTGGCTTTGCTTTTCTTCTCAATTTCCCTGTGTTGTTACAGGGTTCGACCCCAAAAGGAGTGGCAAGTCTAGGAAACGGATGTTTTTGTTTCCGTTTTTTCCCATCAGCGTAAATTCTCACAATAAGTTCCGGGCTTCGGCCGTTAGAGATGTTCGACTCAGATGTTTTTCGACCACCATGAGTGGTTCACCGAGTTTTTGTGGCGTTGAAGTAAAAAACCAGGGTTTTGAGGTTCGCTGCAACTGAGAAGTCCTTTCTGGGAATTGCCCACTTGTGGGTCTGCCTTTTGTTTGGCTCGTCCTTTTGGGTTGCGTAAGAGCCACAAGCGAAAATTACACCAGCCAGCGAAACACATGCCGACGATTGCCCCCCGAAACAGCACTTGGCCGCGCCGTCACTAGCACCTCCAACAGCACATTAAACCGCAGCCCAAACTGCATGCCCCCTTGCACCCTGCCGTCAATCTCGCAAGAATGCACCCGCACCGGCACCCCCAAACAGCACCCCCAAAGCATCAATCTCGCGAAAACGCCGCACCGTCACCAGCGCCTCAAACAGCACCCCAAACAGCATCCCAAAACACCACCTGCGCCAGCACCCCATGCGCCCGCACTGTCACCTGCATGCCTGCCAGCACCCAGTTGTCAATCTCACCAGCACCTCAAACAGCAAGCCCCCCAGACAGCACCTTCACCAGCACTCCAAACTGCACACATCCTAGCACCAATTTCGCAAATCACTTCCCCCTCTTTATTAGAAGTTAGAACCCCTTGTAGCTTGTAGCTATCTGGGGAACAAACTCCATGGACCGTCAAGAAGAAGCACCCTGTCTATGAATCATCCACGGGTTGATGAATCTGGGCTCAACACTACCCCTTTTCATCGCCATTTCGGAACGGAACGGCTAGCTCACAGGGCAGTGTTGCAGCTCCAGAATCCGGGATTAGCAGTTTCTGGATGGTAGTTTCTGAGCCGTAGCTTCTGAATAGGCCGTAGTTTCTGAATCCGAGCGTCGAAGTCGAGGATTGGAGCGACTGCCGCACCGAGCTGCTGCCGGGGGCGCGCAAGAGCGGCCAGGAGCTTCGAAGCCGCGCCGTGAAGCCCCCAGCTCCCTTTTTTTCCACCTTTCTTAAGGTTGGCTGCGCGGAATGCGTGGGTTTTCCTTTTGGTTTCCTTTCTATCGCCCTCAAAAAGAACACGTTCCCATTTGCTCGGGAAGTCTCATTGCACATGGCTTTGCCCATGGGCCGAAAGGACCCTTTGGAAACAAATGGCGTTTCAGCTCCCTGCAAAAGGTGTGACCTTTTGCTGGGGGAAGACCCAGTCAGCTTTGAGGTCGATTGCGGGGTCGATTGCGAGGTGACTTCGCCACCTTGGTTTGAGGGCCCAGACTGGCATATGGGCCTTGGCCGACTTTGGTCACCACGCTCATGAAACACCCCCTGGCTGGGTCAGGGGGTGTCCAATGCCGGAGATCCTTCATCCTTCAATTCCTTTTTGCGGTCATGACAACCATTTTCAATGTGTGGCACATCAGTGAAATAGGTTCATTTCTTTTGTTTCTCCAGGGCCCTTTTACAGCAAAACAAGACCTCCAATTCAGAGCGCGTGAGGAGGCGCCGCCCCAGATCCGGAAGAGCGAGGAGCTTCACCAGGCGAGACATCACTCGTCTAGATCCCCTTTTGTTCAAGGATGGACGTCTTCTCCCCCTGAGTGGTCGCGTTCTAGCAAAACAAAGTCCATCACACGCGGAGTTGTTCGTTTGACTCCTTTCAAGTTTCCCCCTCTCTCTCTCTCTCATATGTACATATATATATATATGTAGATCTCGATCCGCGTGCAAATGAAGATGGCGCACTGGCATTTCTGGACATTAATGGCCCTTAAGTCAACAGTCAATGCTTACGAAGAGATACACATATATATATATATATATATATACCCTCTCACCAACTACCATGGTAGTGCAAAAAGGCCCTTTCCAAGAGGAAAGTAGTCTTTCTACAGGGGTCTGTGCACTTCCATGTTAGCTGCTGGGAGGGTAAGTTATATACTATTCGCCTGCTGCGGCTGTCCTTGCAACTTACAACAAATGCGTCCTAGGGGCTGCAATGATCTGCACTGATCTGCACCAAGTCTTTCAGTTTGGGTCTCAAGCCCCGCAATGATCTTGGCCTTCGATGGCTGGGCAAGGAAGGTATAAATCGAAAGCGGGATCTCAATGGCCTATTGGGGGGGGGGAAAGCAACTGCTTATCAATTCTTCCGTCCGATAGGGGCCAAAAAGAAGGAGGCAACCGCCCGCCGCGTTTGGTCCTGGCGCGCTTCTCCTGTGAATGTCCGTCTCTGCCTCGAGAGGTGCGGATCTTTGGGGACGAGAACAAGAGCTGGCAGAGTCCCAGCAAGTTGGAAGCGGCTTGGGCCCCGGAGCTCAGAGATGGAGTTCCGGGTCTGGATGCCCAAAGATGGTGGAGGACTGATGGAAATCCTTTGGATATCTTGGTTTAGTTGTGGGTGGATCCAGTGCAGTGTTTCTCCTGGAGTTGAAGGCAACACATGTTTCGAGAGTTGAAGGCACACATCTTGCCACTTCTTCCTCTTGTTTTCGCAGGTGTTCCGTTCACAGCGCGTGCCTTGAAGCGGGTGCCCCTGATTCAAGCCGCCCTCAGGCCACGTGGCACCCTCCGGTCCGCCCCTTGCAAGGCTTTGTTTTGGTCCGAAGATGACCGAAAAAAAAAAACAAAAAAACAGCTGTGCTGCTTTCATCTCAGCTTCCCTCTGGTTGTTTTGGATTGGTGGTGATGTTCTGGGGTGGTTTCCTCAAATCCAAACCAATCCAAGCAAGAAGCAAGGGTCACCTGCTTTCTCCGGTTGTGGAAATCCAGGTCACTCATGACAATTCGGAGAAGATCAAGTACAACGACGGCATGACATCCCGGGAGCTGCACCAGGCCCCCTCCGGCGCAGTTGTATTTTTTTGGTATTCTTTATTTGGACTCAGGACGGGTGTGAAGCACGGATTTGAAGCGAAGTGGCAAGATGTCTGATGGATGGCAGGTTGGTTGGTTGGTCCGTGGGGTCTGGCTCCGAGACCTGATGGGTCGCACTGCCAGAGCTTACGGGAATGAGACCACTTCAAACACGCAGCGTCGCCAAAGGCCAGATGGCCCGGTATGCTCTCGGTTCTGGGTGCAAGAGATCCCTTTATGGCGATTTCCAACGAAAAGGAATAGATGAGGATGGAAACAACCCCATTTGAAGAGACGGATATATCAACTCCAGCTTACTGTTCTCAGCAGAGAGCAGCTTGAGTAACCCCTGCATGTTGGATTCCTGCTGGTTTCCACGAACCATCCGAAGGAAAGCTTCCTCATTTTGGGACAGGCACATGGCCGAATCTCGGCACATGTCGCAATGAATGACTGCTGCCTGCTTCGATGCTGAGCCGGCGGAAGATTTGGTTCTGCTGACGGTGGCCGGCGGACGGCCCGAGCTTCCGGGCACGGTGCCGAGGCGAGGTTGGGTCAAAATACGGATCTGGGTCTTTCTTGTGGGGCTGCCCTCTTTTGGGGTCGGCTTACAGGGCAACCCAGGAAAAACCACTCCTTTGGATCCAGTATGCTTCATTTGGGTGTCAGAACATAGCCGCCAAACTTTTCAGCCACAAGAACCCAGGGGACAGACTTCGGTGTCGTCGGCATATTGTCGAGGTGGCTGCGCCAGGCCGTGCGGTCCAGTGGCTTTGTGTGTGCCACCCGCAGTGCGGCAGGGGCGGTGTCCGTGTTTATTGGGGAGTCCTTCCTGGGGCAAGCGGAGCTGCCGGCTGAGGTGGAGGTGGAGCGGGACTGGGCCTCGCTGCGTTGCGCCCCCGCGCACTTCAGTGTGTTGTGCCAGGCGCTGGAGGAAGCGAAGGTGGAGGTAAATGCGGTGTCTTCACCCAGGTGGGACTGGGTCCTGATGCCCCGGAAGCAGTTGCCCGTTGCAGTGACCGCCCTGGTGGCTTTGGGCCATGCCGTGAAGCCCGCCGCGCGGCTCGGTGCGCCTTTGGGGCCGCTCCCTTTTGAGGACTGCCGCAGCTTGGCCGGGCTCTGGGTGTCCGGGGATGCCTGCCGCCTGCAGGCACCCGGCGGCGCGTACGTCGACCTTCCAGAGGGCAGCTGCGGGGTGCTGCACGAGGGCCGGCGGCGTCGGCTGGTGGCTCTGCAGCCTCCGGTGCCCACGCAGCCAGCGGACATGGGCTGGGCGCGGGAGGTGGAGGACACCGCTGCGGTGGTGCTGGAGCTCGTGGATGCGCGGCAGAGGGGCCTGTGGATCTTCCTGGCCGGCCGCTTCGCGCGGGTCGTGGGCTTGCAATCCGGGCTCATCGCCGGGTGCTTCTGCTCCTCGCGCAGCCAGCTGGAGAAGATCTTCGGGGAGCTGCGAGAGGAGCTCCGGGACTATGAGGTCACCAGCGGCTTCTTGCGGAAGCCGGGGGTGTTGGAGGCAGAGCTGCCGGAAGGCGCCCGGCCCTTCCTGGACCTCTACAGTGGCCTGGGAGGCAGCATCGAGGTGACTTCGGGGGAGGTCCTGCATCGCAGGCCGGAAGGCGTGCAGCGGTGGCGGGTGGTGGAGTGGGGATTTGACCCTTTTACGGTGGCGGAAACCCAAGCCAAGAGGAGGAAGGTGAGTGAAGTGAGTGAAGAGCCACAGGTAGTGCAGGAGGAGAAGGCGCTCGAACCCAAAGTTGGTCAAGCGTCACTGGAGGTGCCACAGGAAATCGTGGAGCTCCCAAAGGAGCCAGCGCCCCCAGCGGGCGAGCTTGCAGAGGCAAGCGAGCCCTTGCCAGCTGACTTCAAGTTCCCTCAGGGCTACCCGCCACCAGCTCCCTTGCCGGAGGACTTCAAGTTCTTCCAGGGCTACCCGCCGCCAGCGCCCTTGCCGGAGGACTTCAAGTTCCCCGCAGGTTACCCTCCCCCAGCCGAGGAGGTGTCGGAGGAGGAGCGGAAGCTGGTTCTGAGTGCTTTGGCTTTGGCCCTGGCTGCGGGGCATGTGGCGCCCAACACAAGGCAGGCCATCGTCGTCCCAGGGCCGCAGGGGTTGAACCCGGTGGTGCTGTCCACGTCCAAAACGGCGCTGGAGAATTTGTCGCCCCACCGGATGGCCGAAGCCTTGGACCAAGGCAGGGGGTTCTCAAGTTTATCCATTCGTTTGGCTATGCTCCGTCATTTCAAAACCAGGCCCCACCATAGTGGTTTTCCTTTTGGCCTCCTTTTACAACCGCCCCTTGTAAAGGATACCCTGAACCAAGCACGCGAGTCGGATCGCACCCCGACCAATTCGACGAGGGGAACTCTAGCCCCAGGCCTGCAGGGCTTTCAGAAGCCGGCGACACGGCTGCCGCCGGCCGCTGCGCTGGCGGCTTACGCGAGTCAGGCCCCGGCGCCGAATGCCCAGCCGGGCCTCGGGTACGTGCTGATGCCAACTGCGCTCCCTCTGCCGCCGTGAGAGAAAAAATCTTGCAGCTTCTCTTGCGAGGCGAACGCACGCGGGGGCCCACGCCAGCGTTCTGTTGTGGAATTCCACGCCTCAGCATGTCGTGCTGTGTCAATACTACCTCAAACGCCACGGAAAGCCTCATCAATTGATATCCTTGCAACAAGGGTAAATCTCAAACACGTTTCTTTGATTGCATTCGCAGTGTTGGGCCAGTTCAACTCCTGCGACCATTTCTTGCACCTCAGCTTCTCCAAAAGAACCAAAGCATGGAGAGGTCCGGTGTCCTCCTCCGGTTTGCTTGTGGATGACAAAGGTAACAATTGACCCCTCAATGTGCTTTGTGCTTTTGAGAAGAATGATATACAAACCAGACAGTGCAATGGAAGTACCCTCAAAAGCCACAAGCAAATGCAAAGTGGAATGGAAGTATCCACAAAAAAAGACAAATGCAAAGACATGCGTCGGACCAAGGTTTCGTCCACTGGTTCCACCCCTCGCATTCGGACGCGGAGTCGGACCCAGCCAGGCGCACATGAAAGCCACCATTCAGCCAGATGACTTCTACCGGAATGCCGTGAACGTGAAGGAGTGGGAGGCCATCTCTCGCCATCTCTTCGCTCATTTCGGCGTCCGGCCGCAAGTTTTCGAAAAGGGACCCTGAAAGACCCGGGTCTTTGTTGCTGTGAACAAACAAATCCAGGACCTCACATCCCTCCCCCCCAAAAAAAAGAAAGAGAGAGAGAGGGAGAGAAAGAGAGGAAAGAAAGAAAGAAAGAAAGAAAGAAAGAAAGAAAGAAAGAAAGAAAGAAAGAAAGAAAGAAAGAAAGAAAGAAAGAAAGAAAGAAAGAAAGAAAGAAAGAAAGAAAGAAAGAAAGAAAGAAAGAAAGAAAGAAAGACAGAAAGAAAGAAAGAAAGAAAGAAAGACAGACAGACAGACAGACAGAAAGAAAGAAAGAAAGAAAGAAAGAAAGAAAGCAATAAAAAATACAGAAATAAAGACAGGAAGAAAGAAATAAAGAAAGAACGAAAGAACATAAAGAAAGAAAGGAAGGAAGGAAGGAAGAACGAAGGACAGGCAGGCAGGAAGGAAGGAAGGAAGGAAGGAAGAAAGAAAGCAGGAAAGGACAACGACAACAACAACAGGAAGAACGGGTGGCCCGCAAGCATTTGCAAGTTTCTCTGCGCAAGTTTTCTGAGCAAATTTATCTGTGCAAGTTTCTCTCAAGTTCTCTGCCCAAGTTCTCCTCAATTTCTGCTGAAAGTAGAAATAAGTGCACAGTTTTTTCACATTGACCACCCACCGCGCCGCAAAATAGTTATTCTAATCTCTCGTGCCAGTTTTCTGTTGTATTTGTGCACGTGCGAGTTTGCTCGTGCAAGCGTGAGTGTGCTCGTGTGAGTCTGCTCGTGCACGTGTGCGTGTGCGAGTTCGCTCTTGTGAGTGTGCTCGTGTCTCTTGCTATGCATGGGCTCTCGTGCATGTGCGCCTGCATGTCCTCTCGTGTATCCTTCTGCGATAAGGCTGCCGATGTTACCGCAAGACCCCTTCGCAACGCTGTTGGGAAAGCCAACAAAAGCGGTTCCGGGTTCCCCTTGTGCCGTGCCGAGCTCGCCCCAAAACAATCGGGGGGACTTATGAGCACCGGCGGAGAAACGGCAGGTCATCGAGTTGCACCTTGCTGGCCTGCCCATAGATGCCGATGATGTGCCTTCCCGCCTTAGGGAGGGCGGGCGCTTGGGAGATTTATGTCCGCGAACTACTTGCAAGATGTGTTTGGCTTCCTTTGCCGTTCAATTTATGTGGATGAACTTTGATCTGCGGCGAATCACTCGTCGACGCATGTAGAAATGAGTCAAACTACCTATTTGCATGTAATAAAGCTGGATGGTCATGGAAACAAAATATTCAGCGCATTGCAAGGAGCCCACAGGGAAGACTAACTTAGCACCGTGACGCATCACACATGGAGATGGTTCACTGTGATGTGAAGACAGGAAACTTCTCCCCAGTGACAATCAGAAGGAAATGCATTCAGCATGCTCAGCTTCTTTTCCTTGGCTCAAGATTGGTCTGTTGCAGGTTCAATTCCAAGTTGCTTTTGCCCGGATGTCTCTGAATCCCAGTATCTTGTTTTTCTTCATGGACTTGCGTTAGCCTGCCCTGACGCTGTCTAAAGGAAACAGAGCCATCCCTCCAGTCGAGAAAAAGCTCGCCGCCGGCGATTGTTCGGCTCCAGCACCCATGGTGCACAGAGCACAACAGACATGAGCTGCGGACAAAAGATGAGAGATTGCTATCTAGCCAACTGACTCCAAGGGTTTCTTTCTCTTCCAGGTGAAAAAAACTTTCCACACAAGACTAATCTGTCAGAGCTTCTTGGCCGGCTCGCCTAGCAGCTGTCTTGGATGGAGCGGCAGCCTTGGGGGTCACAGAAGCAGTCATTTGGCATGCCCTTTGGTTGGTCGGGCAGCTGGTCTCAGGGATGGCAGCATCTATTGAACCCTATCCGCAAAGAGCGAGAACCGTCCAGAAGATGCCTTCTAGGAGAAATAAATGCCGGCGGACACTGTCCAGGGAGAATGAAGTTTGCCGAAGTGGCCAAGATCCTGTCAAGCAGGAAGTGGCACCCTGTGCTTATGACGACGTCCAGGCGTTCGCCGGCGGATTTTGCAACGATTGGGTCGCTTTTGGGAGTGCCTCCTTTCGAGGTCATTTCAAATGGAGATTCAATGGAAGCCGCCCATTCGGGGATTCTATTTGGAGACACCCAACAGCCAGACGCATGTCTAATCTCTCTGAAATTCCAAAGCTGGGTTGGTGTCAAAGCCCAAAGCGGGAACTTTCTGCGGAGCCTTTGGGTTGGGAGACCAGGCACCCCAAGCTTTTCATTTGATCGCATGTCCGGACCAGGCCCGGTGGTACAGCGCCACCCCCGAGCCCCAGAGAGGTCCGGGAGGCCCGCGAGGCCCGGCTTGCCCGCTGGTTCTTCGCCGGGGGGTGGCTCACCGTTGTTTTTTTTTTTTTTTTTTTTTTTTTTTTTTTTTTTTTTTTTTTTTTTTTTTTTTTTTTTTTTTTTTTTTTTAAATTAATATATATATATATATATTAATTATTATTATGGTGGTCCTTTTGGTGGGTTTTCCGAGGAAGCACACAAAGAACAGGTACACTCAAAAAGGACGAGCCGCCCAGTTGAACAGCTTTACGCTGTCACCAAGGTGCGGCATGTTCCTTTTGTGTCAAGCATGACCTCCCGGGCTACGAGGGGAACTGTGCGACAAGGTCTGATTGGAAGGGGAGGGGTTACACTGCACTCCTGAAGTGGAGTGACCAGCGAGACTTCCCATCTCAGATTTCTACTTGACCGACAACGTTAGGAGGTCAAAGCACATTGTCTTCTCTGGCTTCAGGCTGGTTGCGGTTGCTTCTTTGAGACCTGTGGATGACCTAGATACCGCAAGGGAATACGGGAGACGCTGTGCTTTGATGCAACTTACCAGGGCTTTGTGGTTGTGCGAGGTGCACTTGCAACGAATTTGGGGGCATCAGTAGCACGGGAGCATCAGTAGCAGCCTTCGCTGATCGGGAATGGGTGCAGGCCTCTATTCAATGAGGCAGGGTGTGCCAAAGCGTGTTTGAACCATTTTCAAAGCCCAATCTGAGCAACCTACGAATAAAGCGTGCAATTTGTTTGGAAGAAGCATATCACGACACCAGGGTCTTTAACCTCAGCTCGAAGCTGGCAGTGGTCCCGTGAAGTCCGCCGAAAAGGACGTGCTTTCGATGGGTCACTGGTCATCTCTTCCCCGCGCGTGGGGTCACCAGGCGGCGGCCAAGAAAGGAGCGAATGGAGGCAAGGCTTGCATTTTGGCGCATGGGTGTGGTGATCTGTCAGACAATTCTTGTGTTTGTTTTCTCTCTTTCTCCCCCTCTCTCTCTCTCAAAGGGCTGCCATGAGTTCATGAGACTGAGCGGCCGTTGGGCATTTGCGAGTGAATCTGTTCCACACCCAGTCGCCGCTTGTGGCTTTGCAGGGACCTGTTTTCCGGCACGGGTGGGTGCGTCCAGTTCTTGGGGCTGAGGATCTGTGCGCTTGCAGCAAGTCTTCGAAAAGTGCCCCAGGGGCTTTGAGGTTCACGATGGCCCGAAGTCGCAGACCAGTCACAAGTGACCAGCCCGGTTTGAAACCTCAGCTTCCTTTTGCCGGTTCTTAGGGAGGAGCAGATCAGCAAGGGATGGCCATTCAAACCCACAAGCCAAGGAGCAAATGAGCCAGTTTGCAAGCCTGCAACCAACAAACAACCCACAGAGAAAGAAAACAGGCAGATCAGCAAACTGTCCAAGGAGTTGCGTAATCGGGCCAAGACTCAGGGCCGAGCAGTGACGACTCCACGTCGAGGTACGGTGGGACAGGGCCGGCCATCCCGCAGAAGTTGGCAGCCCGTGAACCCAGCCGACCGTGAGGAGTAGGGGAAGCCCTGGAGGTTTTGTCCCCCAATCGCCTTTTGTGGTTTTTATGTTGGGCAAAAAGGCTGAGGCTCATCCGGAGGGTTCAGCCGTGCCCTTGCCATAGGCGTCCTTTTAGTCTGGTTGAGAAGGCTAGCACTTTCGGCTCGGTTGAATCCCCTCTACTTGCCCACGTAAGGGAATCTGCGCCATCCACTTTCACCCGCTGATCCTGGCAAAGTGCGGTCATGTCGCCCATGTCTGTTTGGAAGGCCCACATTGCCAAAGTCAACAACATGATGCAATGATACCTGGTTGCCAGGGGTTACCGTTGATGTTATAAAGGGGCATCAAAAGGAAAGCATTTTGTTTTTGCTCTTTTATGGACACATCCAAATGGGTATGTCTTTATTGTTAAGGACTTGGCAACTTGTCTTTGCTTTGATGGGTTTGAAGGGAACCCAAAGGGAACAACAGAATCTCGGTCACGCAAAGGGTTCCTGGTTTGGGGATAGAAAAGCTGGTCCTTGTACTATCGCCTCTTAGCAAGGGCTTATGAACGTCG